TCAACAAAACACAATTTTGAACAGCAGCGTCAACAAAACCAATGAACCAAGACTCACTTGGTCAGGGTGGCAGGACACTGTCCACTGGAGAGAACAGAACGGCCAAAGCTCGCCAGATTACGAGAATGTGTATCGAGCTGATAGTGCCGAATAAACGTGCTAGGCCGGCTCCAAATAGCGGCAGAGCAGATCTCTTCAATGGGGAGTGCCGATGCAAAAGCTTTTGACGTGGCTACTGCCCTGACTGAGTGAGCCTTCAACCCCTCAGGGGGAGGCTTGCCCTTAGCCTGATACGCAGCACAGATGACCGAGACGAGCCAGCGAGACAAAGTCTGCTTGCTCGCCGGCACCCCAGCCTTCCCGCCACCGTAACAGCAGAACAGATGGGTACCCGTACGGATCCCTTGTGTTCGTTTGAGATAGACCTTGAGAGTGTTACGGACATCCAACGGGTGAGTGCTCATAGGAGAGGTCCCCGATGTGGAAGGCTGGGTAAGAGTAGGAAGTTCGATAGGAGCTGTCACATGGAAAGAGTGATCAACCTTCGGGCGGTAAGTATCCGGGAGGCGAATACTGACACGATCAGTGTGGAACACAGTCAGCGCCGGGTCGGATGACATAGCATGTAAGTCACCAACCCTACGCCCAGATGTTACCGCCACCAGAAATACAGCCTTCCAGGTTAACAACTGAATGGAAATAGCCGATAGACGTGAGAACGTAGGACGAGCACAATTGACAAATCCCAAGGTGGGCTGGTTCGCCTGACAGCAGGTTCGAACCCGATCGGCACCAGCTAAAAAGCGCTGTACGAGAGGGTGCTGCCCCAGAAGAGCACCATCAACAGGGGGGTGAAAAGTGGAAATAGCGGTGGAGTAGCCACGAATGGTCGAAGCCGCCAAGCCTTCTTCCAAACGAGCTTGCAAAAACTCCAATACTCGGACTAAATCCGCAGAAAAGGGATCTGCAATCCCCCAATCTGAACACCAGCGCGCATAGCGGGACCACCAGAGATGCCAACCCTGAATCAAATGAAAGCGGAGTCATGCCTTGCTAAAAGCAATTCCTGAGCCCTGACGGTGCGAGAGTTGGGGGTGAGCATGAGAGGGGCCCCTTTTGATGGTGGGGATCTGGGGCTCCTCCACTATGAAAAATCTTTAGATGTAGCCTGGAAATATGAAATTTCTGGGCATACTTAACCAGATAATACTTAACCCAAAAGAACATATCTAAATGGCTATTTACTAAAATTCTTCCAAATATTCTAAATTTATAAACATATTCGTATTTTCTAAAAATATCAGAGATTTTTATAGACAAATCGGAGAGTGGATTTTGTAATTGTAAATCGGAGTAACTCCTCCAAAATCGGAGTGGTTGGCATCTCTGGACCACCTATCCTCATACTGAACGTTTGTCGAATCCCGCCTCGAAGCCAGAATTGTGTCTGCAACTGATGCAGGAATTCCGCGTGCTTCGAGGCTAGACCTGACAGAGGCCAAGCCACCCGCTGAATCCGTGGATTGGGGTGTGGCGCGCCGTTCTGAGTGAGAATGTCCGGTCGCAAAGGTCATAGAACAGGAGGCTGAGCCAGAAACCTGAGAATTACCGGAAACCAGCTCTGTGACGGCCAAAGCGGTGCCAGTAGCACAAGCAGCCGAGCTGGCTGGGTGGACAGCTGTGAGAGGACACGGGGAATGAGTGGTAACGGCGGGCACGCCCAGAGCACTTTGCCCGTCCAATCCAGCAGGAAGGCGTCGGCAGCCAACGCCCTCGGGTCTGGTATTCGAGAGCAGAACACGGGTGTCTGATTCATCCCGCCGGACGCAAACAGATCCACCTGGAACGACCCGTACAACTGGGAGATAACTCCGAATATCTGCCGGTCGAGCATCCACTCGTGCGGGGCCAGGATCCGGCGAGAGAGCGCGTCTGCTCGCACGTTCTCCAGCCCCGGGAGATAAACAGGGAGTACCTGACAATTGCACTGGTCGCACCAGAGGAGAAAGTCCCATGTCTCCCGGATGAGCGCTCGGGACACCGTGCCGCCTTGCTTCAGGATGTACGACATGGCCGTCTGGTTGTCCAACTGAAGACGAACCACCTGGCCCTGGACATGCTCTCGGAAGCTCTCGGAAACGCTTGAAAACCAACCGCACAGCTCTCAGTTCCAACACGTTGATGTGAAGGTGGGCTTCGGCTTCGGACCCGAGTCCGGACGCCGACAGACTGCCCAGAACACCCCCCCAGCCCGTGAGGGACGCATCGGTCTGAACTGTAAGAGCTGGCGTCGGGATTTCCAAGGGGACCCCCTTGGAGAGATTCCCGACATTGGTCCACCACTGAAGGTGAGGAGACAAACACCCGGGGACTGTGAGACTCCGCTCCAGGTCCTCCGAGTGAGCCCACAGACAGCCACAGCTTGCGCATCCCCATAGCAAGGAGTCGCTGCGAGGTGGGCCTGCACTTCGGAAAGTTGACGGAGGAGAACAACATGCTGAGAAACGTCTCCAGCGTGCCCCTCCGCCTCCAGGGCCGACCTCTGAATCGAGGAGAGGTAGGCCTCGTGGACCACCACCCACACCTGCTGCATAGCGTTCCGGTAAACCTCCTCGTAGGTCCGGTAAGCATGCCGCAGGGGGGCGCCCGCGAGGGCAAAAGGTGGCACTAAACGTACTTGCCTGGCAGCCGGAGCTGCTCTGGAGGAAGCCGAGCCTCCCCCCAGGGCGACCGAAGTGAACACACAGGGAATCTTCCCCCAGCTGGTACCTCCTGACAAGCTCTGGCAAGTCAAAGCGGAGGCGTGACCCAGCCAAGAGGGTATCCACCACGTACTGCACCAAGGACGGCAGAATGCGGAGCAGCGTCTGCGTGGGTTGCCTAGGGGCAAACGCCTCGCCTGGTAACGGAACCCAGTCGAATCCGAGCGGCTGGTAGGCACTGCGGCCTGGGGAATGTACTCAGCAATGCGTAGCTGGACCTCCCTCAGAGCCGTCGAGAAACGGAAGGCACCCTCCGGCTCCTCGACCTCCCCAATGTCCATGGACTCGGCGCCCGAGCCCGAGGCTGGGTCTCCTCGCGAAGAGGACTCGAACCCCGACTCGGTGGGCGGCCGCGCACCAGACGCAGAGGGAAGGGAAGAACCTAAGCAGCGCCCTGCTTCAGTGCCCGACACCACGCTCGAACTCCGGTCCCGAGACACAGGAGGAAGACCAGTCAAAACTTGTACCTCCGCTCTCATGGGGCGGGACGGCGCAGGGACCGGAACCCCAGGAATCCTCAATGGACCCTGCGCCAACTCCGAGAGGGGGACTGGAAGCGAAGCCTCCCCCTCCGGGGCAGCCGAGGCGTCCGGACCCGAAGCCAGAGGCAACAGATCAACAGACGCCTCCAGGCCGAGGGATCGAGCCGGGGTCGGCGATCCCACCCCCAGACTCTCCGTCCCCTGCTCCGAGTGGGCGAGGAACTCCTGGCGGAGACCTCCAACCGACTCGTGAACAAGGGACTTCATCGAGTCCATGTGCTGCTGGAATAATTGCGTGATTAGAGACATGTCGAAACCGCTAGGAGCAGTTGAAGGCGACTGACTGCGCGATCTAGCCTTTCTGCCTTTACTTTTTGGCTTTTTAGCTTTAGACGGGGGGACCTGGGTCAGTTCCCCTCCCGCCTCTCGCATTTCCCGATAGAAGAGAAAGTCTGCAGCCCGCCTCTTCTGGGCTCGGGGGGAGAAGCCCATACATATCTCGCGACGCGTGTCAGGGTATGGCCACCTTTTTCAAGGCACACTAGACACTTATCATGACGGTCTGCACGGGGAATACTTTGCCCGCAGACAGTACAACCGGAAAACGCCTGAAAGCAAACATGCAAGCATGTAGCTAACAGCGGACCAGCAGCATAATATACATGTACAAAACATTGAAAAATACGTGAATGCGACCACGGGAAGAAATACTTGGTTAAAACGCAATATTACAACCATCGCAGCACGCAAAAACTTCCCGCCATGGAATAGCAACACGCGGCGTAAACCACGGGAAAGTTAGCGTAAAATAAGGAATACAAAGTCACAATTATGAGACAACCGACCGCAAAGCTTTACTGTTCCTTTCAAGGACAATATAAAGACCATACATACAGGTGGTGGTGTCCCAGACATCATTCTCTTAACTTCAAAAGAGTTCAGCTCTGCACGACACATCCGTATACGGCAGTGACAGCAGAAGGAATGATGATACGGGCCTAGGTGCTTACCCAGTTGGTGCGCATGCGCAACGGGAGGTAACTCCACGAGGTGGGGGCCGTATAATAAATAAAAAGATTTTTATCTATTGTACAATAGTTTTATTCAAAAACATTGATACAACTGTCACAGGACATTTTCAGCCCGGAAAATGCATAATATGTACCCCAAGGACGATCTCTATGAAAAAGAACTTCTTAATTTGGAGTTTTGCATGCGATGCCAAGCGAAAACAAAATGAACGAATGCGCTAACACGACTGACTGACTGAGTTTGGTTTTACGCCACTTTTAGCAATATTCCAGCAATATCACGGCGGGGGACACCAGAAATGGGCTTCACTCATTGTACCCATGTGGGGATTCGAACCCGGGTCTTCGGCGTGACGAGCCAACGCTTTAACCACTAGGCGCTAACACGACCTGTCCATACTTGTACAGTATGTATACAAAATTCAGTGCACGAATGGCACAATGGCACAGCCGAGATTGAACACTGAAACATTTTGCTAAAGAGCCTTACATTGTACGAACATTATTGCAAGCTCTGACATCCATATAGTCTAATCCTCAGAAAACAAAGTGGAAGTCAATTGTTGAAAGCCAGCTGGTAAGTTATGGAGTTCCATCAAACATAGCAAGGAACTGTGAAACTGGTACTATCACTAACCTGCTCAGTGAGATGGACTATATAACTTGAGTTCAGACAGTGTAGTAGTATTTAGAGGCTTCATGCCTGCCACTCGCTTACCTCCATGGCCTTATTCATCTGCTTGTTCTCTCTGTCTTTCCTCATCAGCTCAGTCTCGCTCTGTTTTATTTTCTGGTTGACTTCTACTCTCTGAAAGAATATGTCAGTGTTGACAACTGGTTGTTACATCTACTAATGACCATTTGTCTTATAAAACCAATGTCACCTCAACACACAAAAGAAAGTTACACGAGTGTCTGTATTCCTTGTATTTTTGTGCCGAAAGTATGGTCCTGGCCTTGAGGCAACCTTTGAAAATCAAAGTTATTTAAGTAAAATAACTGGAGGACCATGGATATATTACGGTTCATATCAAGCTAACAAACATCTTAAAAACAATTGTTTTTAAAATCAGACTATTCATTTCTGTTTTACATATATATTCACAAGTGCTCATCAGAATGAGACAGTAATTACAAATCATACCTCAATGGCAAGTTTTACATCCAGTTCTCTCAGCTGAATTGCTAACTCATCATGTCCTTCCTAAAACAGATCATTCAACATTTCTCTTTACACAACATGATCACATACAGGTGATGTTTGTACAGTTTTGCTTGCAAGTTACTGATACAACAAATTTTTCATTTGTCCTGTTATTATGATTGTAAAATATTTGAAAATGATGACAGATACATGACATGTGACCTATCACAACATCATGTTTTATTGCTTTTCTCTTTCAGCATTATCATGTAATTCCAAATATAAAAACAATCTTACTTGACCCCATCTTACCTTATCTAAAGTCTCAATCATGCCTGCGAGATCACTTTTACCACCTGTGTTGAGTTTAGCAAACAGATGATTTAGGAGAGCCTTTTTTCGAGACATCAGGTTTTTGCACTTGCCCATCCTGAGTGGAAATATGCATCTGACAGTTCTTCAGCTTTTCAATTTCAGCCGTGAGTCTGGAAATTTCCTCCACCTTCTCTTGGTGATTTGTCCTCAGGACATCTAACTCTGATCCAAGTTCCTCTTCTGATTTCCTGTTTGTAGCTGTCTGTAATTCTTCTTTCAGCACATGAATGGTTCCTTCTAGTGTCTCAATGCATACCCTACACTGATCCACTTCATCTGATTTCTCTTGATATAGATTCTCAAACTCATCCATCTTCTTTCCCAGATCCTCTAGCAAAGCTGATTTATCCTGCAGGATTGTATCAGTACACGTCTTCTCCTCTTGAAGAATACCCAAATCTTGAGTTTTTTCCACAACGGCATCTTCTAGTTTCAGAATCTCAATGGATAAACTTTCAATCTCTGTGATTTTATCTTCCAGCTCCACATCCTGTTTGTTTTTGTATTCCACCATAACCTGTAACTCTGCTGTTTTATGAGTCAGCTCAGTTTCTATTCGAGACCTTTCATCCTCAAGACTGGCCATGTCTACAGTCTTCTCCCTCAACTTCTCCTCAAGCTCATGCTTCTCCTGCACCAGCTTCAGCATCTCTTCTCCCCCTTCCTGTAACTTTATTTTTTCAGACAGAACACCCTCAATCTCATGGTCTTTGTCTTTAATGACTTCTTCCAAGGATGACACACTGTCTAACAGTAATTTTATTTCCTGTTCTTTAGCAAGGATTTCTGTCTGGCTTTCTTGTAGTTTGTCCTGTATGATTTTGTCAATCTGCTCGTGGATGTCATGAATTTCATGCTCTTTTTCCTGTAAACAGCTTTCTAAGTTTGCTACTTTATATTGCAGTTCTGAAGACTCATCAGTCAAAGAATCAATCTTTGCCATACCAGCTTCTTTAATGTCATCAAATTCTGCCTCATTCTTAGCCATCTGTTCTTCTACCTCAACAACTCTCTGCTTCAGTGTTTCTACTTCTGTCTCATAAGCTTCCAGTTCAGTCGTACCTTGAGTAATCATCTTAGTCATTTCATCTATCTGTTTAGTCTTTGCCTCAACATCCAACTCACTCTGATCCAACTTCAAGGTCAGTTCTTTCACTTCTTCCTCCATAGCAACAGCAGCACTTAATTTCGCCTGCAACTCTTCAATGACCACATCTTTTTCACCTGTCTGGGATTCCTTTTCTTCCACATAAGTCTTTAGATTTTTAAGTGCAACCTTCAGATCACTGATTTCTCTTTCTTTCATGTCAACATTTTCCTTATTCTTTTCTGTTTCTTCTTGTGTTTCATTCTGAAGCTTTGCAATTTTCTCAAGATCAGAGTTTCTCTGTTCAACAAGTTTCAAAACCTCCTTTTCCTTTACCTCCAGTAAAGCACTTGCAGCTTCCAGACTGTTTCTAACAGTCTTCATCTCTTCCTGCACCGTTTGTAGATCCTGTCTTGTCTTTTCCAGCTGTTCTTGTTTTTCTTGGATGTTTGCCTCTAGCTCCTGCTCTCTCTTCCGGGTAATCTTCACTGCTGAACACATCAAGCCGACATTCATCTTCCTGCGATTTCTCCTGCACCTTCTCTTGCAGATCTTTCAATTTCTGTTCAAGTTCTAATTTCCCACATTTCAGATCCTCTATTTCACTCACACTCCCATTTGGACAACATTCTAGTTTAATTGTCTTTCCCTCATTATCAGTGTGTACCTCCATGTACTTTTGTAAGTCTTGTATCTTCATTTCCTGTTCTTTATGTTCCAATTTTGCAGCCTCCAGCAGACGTTCCTTTTCTTTTATAATAGCTTCCAAATCCTCATTTCTAGACTGGGAAACTTTAGGTGATATCTTCTTGATTGAAAACGTCACCTCATCTTCTTCACTGTCAACATCATCTGAAATATGAGGGGTGACTTTCTGTTCTGCAATTATTTCATCTGTATGGCTGCCAAATTCTCTGTCAAAGCATTCTCTGCCTTTTCCAGATTCTGTTGAAGCTGCTTAGTTTTGACTTGTTGATCTTCCAAGGCCTCCTTCTGTTCCCGTAGTTCCTGTTCAAGGCATATTCTCTTTTCCTGAGCCTCACTAATGAGGTCTTGTCGTCTCAACAGCTCATCAGAGAATGTCTCCAGCTCTTCCTGTTTTTCGTCAAGATCTCGTTCAAGTTTGCAAACTGCTTGAGTAAGATTCCTTATCTCAGATTCTTTCAGTTGCAAGTTCTTTGCCATATCTAGTTTGTCCTGTTTAATATTTTTCACTTCCTCTGTCATAATGTTGAATTGTTCTTCAATATCAGTTTTACACTGAACTTTGTCTACAACATCAAAGGATGTTTGGAGTTCTTCATCCTTCACTGAAACTGCAGTTACATTTTGTCCACAAACACTATGCCCTGTTTGACCTGGTTCACTGACTGTATTCAGTTCATTGGCAAGAGACATTGGTTGTATTTGCTGCCTTGATGCACAAGTTAGTTCATCAGCCAGAGACAAAGACTGAGCATTAGACTGAGACGCCAAAGAAAGTTCATCAGCAATTGACATTGGACCATCTGACATTTTCATTGATATGTCAATATTAGAGACTGTGAAATCGGCATCAAAGGAATGTATAACAACATCTGACATTGACATCTTCTGGCTTCTTTCAAAATTACTCCCCTTCTTTGACACATCACAAAATTTGTTATCTGGCAATATGTTATTAAGTTGTTCAGTTTTCCTATCCAGTTCGTCTTCCAAAACGATCTTCTCCTGAATAATCTTTTCCATATCCTTGTGTTTATCCTCAGCAGTTATCTTCTCAGCAAGAATCACTTCCAATTCCAGCTTAGCCCCATCAAGCTGCTTGATAAGCTCTTCATTCTGCACCAGCACTACCTCTTGTTCCTGTTTGTGATCATTTAGCTGCTTCTGAAGCTCTTCTTTCTGCATCAGTACTACCTCTTGTTCCTGTTTGTGATCACTTAGCTGCTTCTGAAGCTCTTCATTCTGCACCAGCACTAACTCTTGCTCCAGTTTGTGATCACTTATCTGCTTCTTTAGTTCTTCATTCTGCACCAGTACTACCTCTTGTTCCTGTTTGTGATCACTTAGCTGCTTCTGAAGCTCTTCAATCTGTAGCAGTACTACCTCTTGTTCCTGTTTGTGATCACTTAGCTGCTTCTTAATCTCTTCATTCTGCACCAGCACTACCTCTTGTTCCTGCTTGTGATCACTTAGCTGCTTCAGAAGCTCTTCATTCTGCACCAGCACTACCTCTTGTTCCTGTTTGTGATCACTTAGCTGCTTCTGAAGCTCTTCATTCTGCACCAGCACTACCTCTTGTTCCTGTTTGTGATCACTTAGCTGCTTCTGAAGCTCTTCATTCTGCACCAGTACTACCTCTTGTTCCTGTTTGTGATCACTTAGCTGCTTCTGAAGCTCTTCAATCTGTAGCAGTACTACCTCTTGTTCCTGTTTGTGATCATTTAGCTGCTTCTTCAGCTCTTCTTTCTGCACCAGCACTACCTCTTGTTCCTGTTTGTGATCTCTTAGCTGCTTCTTAAGTTCTTCATTCTGCACCAGCACTACCTCTTGTTCCTGTTTGTGATCACTTAGCTGCTTCCTTAGTTCTTCATTCTGTGTCAGCACTACTTCTTGTTCCTGTTTGTGATCACTTAACTGCTTGATAAGCTCCTCATTGACAGTCTTGTCATCAAATCCATTCACCAAAGCTTCAGTATTCCCTTCCTTTGTTGTTATGTCTTTGACAGATGGCACAGCCAGAGCTCTAAGTTCTGTATCCTTTTCAACAATAAGCTTTTGTAATTTTTCTATTTCCTTTTCATATTTCTGTTCACCTTCAGTTTTTTCCATCCTGAGATCAGTAAGTTGAATGTCTAATTTCTCCAACCTATCATCTTGATCAACAGATGAACTCTTTCCCCCATTCTTGGATGCAACCAATGCCTCAAGGTCATCTTTGTCTTTCCTGAGACCTTCAACTGTAGCTTGAAGTGTAGCATCAAACTGCAAACAATGACAAGAAATTCTGTTCACTGGACAATGTTGCAGTTATGTAAAGCATAGATATCATAAACACTACACAGATGTACAATTTCAGTTTGCATACACTTAAACAGAAAATTATTCATAGTATCTCCTTAAACCTGTGAAACTTGAAGTTTAAAAGGTTACCACACACATTTCTGTGAATGGAGTTCAATACAGCTTTGAACAATATACTGTTTATAATGGCATTTAAGCTTAATGTGAATAAGGCAGACATCATCACGCGTGGAACAATATACTAATATAATTATGTAAATGTCGACTGAACATTCACCACCTAATATAATGTTGTAACCTCCAAGGAAGGTAACATGTTTCTTCATCAAGAATGTACAACATGACTGATGTAAAAGGACAAAATTCCAAAGCCTCAAGCCAAAAATGTAATTTTTTGATTAAAATTGATATTTTATACTTATCCTGACTCATGCTTAATTGCTTGTCTCTTTCTTCTTGCGAATGATAGTGGAACACTTGAATCCCCTTTTGAAGCGCCCTAAAAAAGCAGACGTAAAATCACTCACCCAGTGTTACCTCCCTTAGGCATTTTGGTGGCCAAATCTGTCACATGACCAAACACGCTCTTCACTCTCTCCAAATATGAGCCCGACACCCGGATTTAGAGGGAAATCCAGAGTGCCATGAGGGGAGGTTGGGAGGGCTGACCTCATGAGTCAGGATAAGTATAGAATATCAATTTTAATAAAAAAATTACATATTTTTCCTTATCCTGAATCTTACTTTTTGCTTGTAGAATCCAAAGGAACCGGTGGTGGGTCAAGCCACTCTGGATTCATAGCTTGCTGATTTACGTCCTGCATACCCCCGAGGGAACTTCTGATGGCACTGTGCTGATCCTTTCTTCCAGCTTCCTCTGATGAGTCTGGGGGGACCACAACTTGTCAGATTTCTCTGGAACCTTCTACTCCTGACATTCTGTGTGGATTTATGCAACTCCATGTCTTGATGCTCGCATCAAGTGGAGAAGCGACCCTTCTTCATATACGAGTAAGTCCTTTACAAGTACAGGGTCTATCACTCATGCTGGTCTGTCCTAGACGTGTGCATGGACTCTAAAGCTCTAGCTCTCCAGAGTGTTGGCTTTTACAAGTCACGTGATAAAAGGGTGAGATTCATCTCAGCGCCTTTGAGGAACCGTCAATTGTTGTGCTACAACAAGAGGCCCAAACTGGTGAATGCCGGAGACGTCCTCGATAGCAATGTCTCTGAGGTAGTGGTTGGCTTCAAAAGCCGCCCTCCATTATTGTCGAGATGTAGCAGTTTCCATGCAGAGCGAGTGTCGATGCCAGAGCTCTGACTTCATGAGGGTTGGAGGCTCGTGGAGGCTCAAGTCCTGCTGTTTTGTAGGCTCTTAGGATGACGGCTCTCATCCATATCGATATCGTCGTACGTGAAACCTCTGTAGGCGTCTCCGTAGATAGAGGGATGAAAAGGCGCTTGAATTTTCGTCTCCTCGTCTTAGACCTTTGTAGGTAGACTTTCAATGCTCTTACTGGGCAGAAAGATAGGTCCTGAGTATTCTGTGGCCCAAGGACTGTCGAGAGTGCTGGGATGTGGAACTGTGTGTCTGGTTGACCCGGCAGTTGGTTCTTTGCTATGAAGTCCCATCTCAATCCCATATGTACGATGTTGCGATGTGCATCAAATCGTGTTCGTTCAAAGTCCAGGGCATGTATTTCCGACAACCGAGCTGCTGTTGCCAGGGTGATCAGGAACAGAGTTTTGTGTGTTAAAAAACTCATAAGATGTCCTTTCTAGTGGTTCGTAAGCATCACTGGTGAGATGCTGTAAGAGATCCCAAGCAGGCTCTTTAAATTTCTTTTGTTGGTCTTCCAACTTGAAGGAGCGTAGTAGAGCCAGTATCTCTGGTACTTTGGTCAGCTTAACACCCGTCTTCATGGTGATAACCGTGCTGAGGGCCGCTAGGTATGTAGAGAGTGTTGAACCTTTTAACCGCCTCGTTTGTCTTACATGACAAAGGTATTCCGCCACTTGAGGATGTGTTGCTTTCATCGCCGTGAAGCCCTTCCTTAATGCATATTTCTCAAAACTCTGCCACTTGTGTCACTGCTTTCGCTGCTCTGGCGGATTATCCTCTTTTCTTCAAGCAACTCTTGATACGTTCCATGCGTGTAGCTGGAATACTGTTGGATTCCCGTGTGCTTTGATTGGTGTGCGGATGAATTAGTAGGTTCGGCCACTCTGGAAGTTGTAGGGTTGGACTTCCGAGTTCTTGTATGAGGATGGGAAACCACACCCTCGCTGGCCAGCAGGGAACGACCAAAATCAGTTGCAGCTTCTTTGTCTGCTTGATTGTCTGCAACACCTGCGGCATTAGAGCTGGAGGTGGAAACGTGTAAGCGTTTAGTCCTTCCCAGGAGATGCTCAGAGCATCTGTTGCCCATGCTTGTGGATCCGTTACCGGAGAGACGAATGTCGGTAGTTGTTTGTTGAACTTTGTAGCAAACAGGTCTATCAGCGGAGATCCTATCATCTGTATGATGCATCTGAAGGCTTCTGGATGTAACATCCATTCCGTCGGGGATGGTTGTGCTGGACGAGATAGATGCTTTTATGTAGATGTTCAGGTCGTCTATTATGCTGAACAGATGAAAGCTGAGATCTAGAAGATTTCTTGATCTTGTTGATCCTTGTTTGTTGATGTAGAACGCTACTGTGGAGTTGTCCGTATAGATCATCAGTTGTGCGCTCCTTAGTATGCTGGACCAGTGTAGTAAGGCGTTTATTACTGCTTTCATCTCGAGCATGTTGATGTGCAGGCTCTGCTCCTGACTCGACCATTTCCCTGCTGCCGCCGTTGTCGGTGGTGCTCCCCATCCTTGAAGTGATGCATCTACGTAGAGATGAGTGTTGCACTCTGGCTCTGATAAGTAGGTTCCTCCGCCAAACATTCGACTTCGAGTCCACCACAGAAGATATGGTTTCAGTCGTCCAGTAGTCGAAGGAGTCAGACTGTCTAGATGGCGTTCACGAACACTTGTAGTGAAGCGCAGTTGTAGTCTTCCTCTGCGTGTCATGTCTTGTGCTGACGTGAGAAGACCAAGTAGGCTCTGCCAACTTCATAGTGGTAACGGAGAGAGTAGTGCTTGAGATATCATGTGTTGTATCTTGACCCAACGCTCCTCTGGGACGACAATGTGATTCGCCCGATGTGATGAGCCGTATTCCTAGGAATTGAAGATCCTGTATGGGTTCTAGTTCCGACTTGAGGAGATTTACTAGCCATCCTAGTTGAGTGAGTAGCCTGATGGTGAAGTCTAGTTGCAGTCTGAGTTGACTGGGATCTTGATGAGCTTGAATCCCGTCGTCCAGGTAAAACGTACTGCATAAACCTCGATGATGTAGATATGTGATGATTGGCTTTGTCACTCGAGTAAACAACCAGGTGGCTGACGATATTCCAAATGGTAGCACCTTCCATTGGAAATGACTTCCATTGAAGAGGAATCGTAGGTATCTCCTTGAGTCCGGATGTATCGGGATGTGAAGATACGCATCCTGTACATCTATGCTGGCGAGGTAGTCTAACGGACGAACGAGTTGTCGCAGTTGAGGAAGGTGTATCATCCTGAACTTTGCGGGTCTGCGTAGATAATCTTGGTTGAATTTCCTCATGTTGGAACTTTTTCCTGGAATTTTTCTTTGGTACTAAGAAGATTGGGGAGTAAAAAACGCGTAGGATCTGGGATACGTAGTCGTCCTGAAGAATTCCCCGCTGCAGACGTCCACCCACTGTGGAGGAGGAGGAGGAGGAGGAAAAAGACTCCAGTCGTTCCGAACCTGTCCATCAGCGTCTAGAGTTCCTGGCACCTCTGGGTGCTCTACAAAGTGTCTTGGTGTACCGCTCACTCCAACTGCAGGAAGACAGCAATCCTTGTCTTCTCAAGAGCGTCAGGCCCCGCTGATGTGGATGCCAGACATAAACTGATGATCATTCTTTTGGGTCAGCAAAGCAGAGTAAATCATCCTATCCTCTTCAGAGGTCGAGTTCCTGCACTTCGCGATGAGGGTTTCATTGATGGCTCTTGATCTGGCTAGACCAAAGAAGGTACGTCTGGTAGTTGTGTCTAGTTGTGCCAGCTTCTTATCCTCTATTTTATAAGTCCTTGATCGGGAGTCGTTGATGATTTTGTAGTTCTCATCTATCTCTGGGGCCTTCATGAGGGGTTCCATGTGGTGAAGTGAGAACTTCTTGGCGTTGAATGGCGGGACGCTTTGGCTCTGGAACTTTGTTGCCTTCCTGAAGGCTGTGCTGAGGTTCTCCGGTACATCCGAGACAGGATCGATGGGTGGAAGGGTGAGCGTATCAAAGTCGTCGTTCGACATCATATATACGTGAATGCTTCATTATCCTCTTTAGAAGGTGATGCAAGTTCCAATCCATTAGCCATCCAAGATTTGATCTCTGTATCGGAGAATATGATTCCGCCATCATCTTCAGATCTAGAGGCCTCTTGTTCTGAAGATCGTTGCCGTTGTGCCTCCTTCCTGCTTGGAGATGTGTCTGAAGACCTTCCTGAAGACCTCCTCCCTGGAGTCTTGAGACGTATCTCTGTGCCTTCGTGAAGGTGTAGATTCTCTTCTACGGGATGCGGGGGATCTGGTTCTGCTCCTGCGAAGGTACCTCTGGAACATCGCTCATCGTTGTCAGGGCTGGCAGGTTCCTGATTGACTGCCATCAATCTGCTTCTGTGATGCTCGGTGAACATCTGGTTCTGCTCCTGCTTGAATGGCTCCTCTGGAACATCTACTGCAGACTCATCGTTGTCAGGGCTGGCAGGTTCTCTGGTGGTATCTGATGGTGTTGAGTTGCTGCGGACAATTATCAAGTGCATGACCCTTCTTAACGTGAGGTCCCCTCCTTCACGCTGAGGCTACCATCTTCAACAGGATTTGCGTTTTATCTGCAGGCTTCGTCTGAGAAGACGCGTGCGTGGTCTTCTTAGACTACGATGAGGCTACTACTGACGTTGACGACCTCTTCCTGGAGCCGGAGCTTCCATCTGCCACAGCAACATGCTCCGTAGTAGCAACCGGTAAATCACTGGAATGGTGAATCTCAGCAGACAGCAATAAACGGTTATCAGCGCAATCATTTCGGTTTGGACATGACTTGTAAAAGCCGTCTAGACCTGTCCTTGGCACGTCTAAGAATGGAATATAAATAATTATTAAATTTAATTTCAGATAAATGCTGACAAAGTTGACAGCGAAAGCTGGAAGAACATGTAGAAGTGCAATTAGGACATAATAGATGTGGATCAGCAACCGACAATCAGTACCTGCAACAAATGCAAGTTTTCATCAATTGTAAACAAGATGAAATATCATGTCAACAATGTGAATACACAGATAATTTAGACAAAAATTTCAAACCATATTGCTGTTATATCTTCCTAAATGCCGTATACAGCTAAATTTAGTGGTAAAGGCCTAAAATTTAACTAAACCTGAAGAGGTTTCCAATTTTTGGAAGAGAGTCGTCCTTGGGGTACATATATGCATTTTCTGCGGCTGAAAATGTCCTGTGACAGTTGTATCAATGTTTTAATAAAAATATTGTACAATAAATAAAAATCTTTTTTATCTATTATACGTCCCCCACCACGTGGAGTTACCTCCCTGCTACCCATGCGCAGCCAACCAGGTAAGCACCTAGGCCCGAATCCTCATTCCTTCTACTGAATAAATCAGTGAACAGAATTGCGGGGAGGTGGGCGGCCCTACCCCAAGATGACTCTCTTCAAAGAATTGGAAACCTCTACAGGTTTGGTTAATTCTTTTTCAGAGAGATCGTCCTTGGGGTACATATATGCCTTAACTCAGACTCCCAAAGACCGGAGGCCAGGGAGGAGGGAATTCTGTCAAAGTACACATGAATAGCGATCGTTAGGAAGAATGTAACAGACGCCACAACACTCGCCTGTCATGTGTCCCGAAGCTTCCGCGAGAGGCATTATGGGAGGGTAACCGACAGGGAGGATAAGTATTTAGATCCGACCTCATAGGTTAAGCATAGTAATTCGCACACAGTACGAAAGTAAAAACCCCGCCCACATCATGGTCTATTAGAGAGCACCGTAAGGGGGAAAAACCAACTCACAACCGACCATAATCTCCGGAGAGAATCGAAAGGAGTTTGATTGAAAGCAACGTCAACTGACCAGATAACCAAGACTCACTTGGTCAGGGTGGCAGGACACTGTCCACTGGAGAGAACAGAACAGCCAAAACGCGCACGATCACGTGAATGTGTATCGAACTGATAGTGCCTGATAAAAGTGCTAGGCCTGCTCCAAATAGCGGCAGAGCATATCTCTTCAATGGGTAGTGCTGATGCAAAAGCTTTTGACGTGGCGACTGCCCTGACCGAGTGAGCCTTCAACCCCTCAGGGGGAGGCTTGCCCTTAGCCTGATAAGCAGCACAAATGACCGATACAAGCCAGCGAGACAGGGTCTGTTTGCTCGCCGGCACCCCAGCCTTCCCGCCACCGTAACAGCAGAACAGATGGGTACCCGTACGGATCCCCTGTGTTCGTTTGATATAGACCTTGAGTCTTTCAGACATACGGATCCCCTGTGTTCGTTTGATATAGACCTTGAGAGTCTTTCAGACATCCAACGGGTGAGTGCTCGTTGCAGAGGTCCCCGATGTGGAAGGCTGGGTAAGAGTAGGAAGTTCGATAGACTTCGGACGGTAAGTATCCGGGAGGCGAATACTGACACGATCTGGATGGAACACAATCAGCGCCGGGTCTGCCGACATAGCATGTAAGTCGCCGAACCCTACGCCCAGATGTTACCGCCACCAGAAATACAGCCTTCCTTGTTAACAACTGAATGGAACGTAGGACCGGACAGCCAATCTAGCACAATTGACAAATCCCAATGTGGGCTGGTTCGCCTGACAGCAGGTCGAACCCGATCCACGCCAGCTAAAGCGTGCTGCATAAGAGGGTGCTGCCCCAGAAGAGCACCATCGACAGAGGGGTGAAAAGTGGAAATAGCAATGGAGTAGCCACGAATGGTCGAAGCCGCCAAGCCTTCTTCCAAACGAGCTTGCAAAAACTCCAATACTCATACTAAATCCGCCGAAAAGGGATCTGCAATCCCCTTATCTGAACACAAGCGCGCATAGCGGGACCACCTATCCTCATATTGAACGTTTGTCGAATCCCGCCTCGAAGCCAGAATTGTGTCTGCAACTGCTGCAGGAATTCCACATGCCTCTAGGCTAGACCTAACGGAGGCCAAGCCACCCACTGAATCCTTGGATTGGGGTATGGCGCTCCGTTCTGAGTGAGAATGTCCTGTCACAAAGGTTATAGAACAGGAGGCTGAGCCAGAAATCTGAGAATTACCGGAAACCAGCTCTGTGACGGCCATAGCGTTGCCAGTAGCACAAGTAGCCGAGCTGGCTGGGTGGACAGCTGGGAGAGGACCCGGGGAATGAGTGGTAGCGGCGGCCCAGAGCACTTTGCCCGTCCAATCCAGCAGGAAGGCATCGGAAGCCAATGCCCTCTGGTCCTGTATTCCAGAGTAGAACATGGGTATCTGATTCATCCCGCCGGACGCAAACAGATCCACCTGGAACGATCCGTACAACTGGGAGAGAACTCCGAATATCTGCCGGTCAAGCATCCACTCGTGCAGGGCCAAGATCCAGCGAGAGAAAGCGTCAGCTCGCACGTTCTCCAGCCCCGGGAGATAAACAGGAAGCACCTGACAGTCGCACTGGTCGCAACAGAGGAGAAATTCCCATGTCTCCCGAAGGAGCGCTAGGGACACCGTGCCGCCTTGCTTCAGGATGTACGTCATGGCCGTACGGTTGTCCAACTGAAGACGAACCACCTGGCCCTGAACATGGTCCTGGAAGCGCCAGAGTCCGGACACCGACAGACTGCCCAGAACACACCCCCAGCCCGTGAGGGAAGCATCAGTTTGAACTGTAAGAGCTGGCATCGGGATTTCCAAAGGGATCCCCTTGGAGAGATTCCCGACATTGGTCCACCACTGAAGGTGAGGAGACAAACACCCGGGGACTGTGAGACACTACTCCAGATCCTCCGAGTGAGCCCACAGACTCGCCAAAGCTTGCTGTATAGGGCGCATCAACCGCGCCCGCCACACTACAGAGATAATCGCCGCCATATGACCCAGTAGACGGAGCCAAGTCCGTGTTGGTGCCTGGGGCTGCGAGAGGAACGAAGACACTATCTCCCGTACTCTGGTGACCCGGTCGGTCGACAAGGAGACAAGATCCTTGTGAGTTTGGAACCGCACCCCGAGAAAAAACAAGTCCTGGGTGGGTACCAGGTCGGATTTCTTGAGGGTTATGATCCACCCCAGTCGAACTACAATGTCTATCACCATGTGGGTAGAATCTAGGCTCGCTGGCTGAGTTAGAGCGCTGAGCAACCAGTCGTCGAGGTAAGGGTAACAACGCCTTCCTTCCGACCTTGCAAGGGTAGCTGGCACTAACATGAGCTTGGTGAACACCCTGGGGGCAGTGTATATGCTGAAGGGGAGCACCTTGAATTGGTAACCCATCCCGTCGTAAGAGAATCGGAGGTACTGCTTGAACGATGGATGAATTGGGCACATGTAGATACGCATCCTTTAGATTGATCGACGTAAGCCAATCGCCGGGCTGAACAGAGGAGATCACCGAGCGAAGTGTCTCCATCTTGAAGGATGGAACCTCTAGCATGCGATTCAACCCCTTGAGGTTGAGAATGGGACGGAACCTGCTGTCCTTCTTCGGAACGAGGAAGTACATGGAATAAAATCCCGCCTGTTCCTTGACGGTAGATAACTCCACGTGGTGGGGGACGTAGAATAGATAAAAAAATGTAATATTTTAAGTAAAATTGATTTTATACTTATCCTGACTCATGATTTTGCTTATCTCCCTTTCCCTTTCGAATGGTAGTGGAACACTTGAATCCCTTGAAGTTCCCGAAGCGGACGTACAATACTCACCCACGAGTTACCTCCCTTTGCCCTTTCCTGCGCAAACCAGTCATGTGACGCGCCTTACTTGTCACTCTCTCCTGATTTTCTGCCCATGCACTTGGATCTGCTGTGAAATCTCAAATGTCTTCAACGGGGAGGCTGGGAGGGCTTGTTCGTCATGAGTCAGGATAAGTATAAAATATCAATTTTACTTTAAAAATTACATATTTTTCCTTATCCTGACTCATGATCTTTGCTTATAGAATCCATCAGAATTGGTGGTGGGTCAAGCCACTGGATTCAACAGCTGTCCTTAGATACGTCCTGTATCCCCCCCATGGGAACTGCAAACGGCATTTCCGTGGTCCTATTCTTCCAAGAACTCAGGGGGACCACTCCTTGTCTTACTTCAATCTCAGACAAGTTGAATCATGTTGATCCGTGTGGTTATAGATAAACTAGTATTCTCCTGTACTAGATATCTTATAACAACCCATGGATTATGATAAAGTCTTTATCATAAATGAGTTGCGATCCCTTTATGTGCAGGTAAGGTTATTACCTGCACAGGATCTTAATCACTCATGCTAGTCTGTCCTAGACTGTGCGCATGGACTTTCAAACTAATACTTTTCCTAGTAAAAGTCATCTACAAGTCAACGTGATAAAGGGTGAGATTTCAACTCAGCGCCTTTGAGGAACCGTTAGTAGCTGTGCTACAACGAGAGGCCCAAATTGGTGAATGCCTGAGACGTCTTCAGTGGCTATGTCTCGGAGGTAGTGGTTGGCAAACACCGTGTCCAAGCAATTTCCATGTAGAGCTAGTGTTGACGCCAGTGCTCTAACTTCGTGTGGGTTGGAAGCTCTAGGAGGTTCTAGTCCTGCTGCTTTATAGGCTCTCAGTATGACGGCTCTCATCCAAAACGATATCATTCTCGAGACCTCTGTCATCGTCTCTGTAGATAACGGGATGAATAGGCGCTTGAACTTTTTGCCTCCTTGTCTTAGTCCTTTCAAGATATATCTTCAGAGCTCTGACTGGACACAAGGATAAATCTTCTACATCCTCTGGGCCGAGGATTGTAGATAGCGATGGTACATGGAACTGTCTATCCGGTTGGCCAGGTAGTTGGTTCTTGGCGATGAAGTCCCATCTTATATGTACTGCCTCATTTCGCCCTGCGTCGAATCTAGTTCGGCTGAAGTCCAGCGCATGTATCTCTGATATTCTTGCTGCTATGGCTAACGCTAGCAGGAACAGAGTCTTTTGTGTCAGCAACTCGAAGGTTGTTGATGTAAAGGTTCGTAGGCATCACTGGTGAGATGACGTATAGTGACGTTCAGGTCCCAGGCCGGAGCTCTAAACTTCCTCTGGTGGTTCTAGTAGCTCTGGAACTTTTGTCAGTTTGATGCCTGTTATCATGGTGATCACTGAACTGATGGCAACAAGGTATGTAGATAATGTCGAACCTTTAATGTGTCTCGTCTGTCTCAGATGACACAGGTATTCCACCACTTGAGGATGAGTCACTTTTATCGCAGTGAAGTTCTTCCGCCTTGCATAAGGTTCAAACTTCAGCCACTTGTCGTCGTATAGACTGCGAGTTGATCTGCGTAGCGCAAGCGATACTGCTTGGCTGCTCTGGCAGAGTATCCTCTCTTCGTCAAGCATGCTTTGATACGGTCCATACGTGTAACTGGAACACTGCTGGGTTCCCATGTGCTTGCTTGGTGTGCGGATGTACTAGGAGGTTCGGCCACTCTGGTAGTCCCCCAGAGTAGATACCTCTTGAGGTTGTCTGGTAGCGAGATGGGATCGACGCTGTCTAGATGTTTTGTCAGGAATCGATGCAACGGGCCTCAGTTGTAATCTTCCTGTGCGGGTTAAGTCTTGTGCTGAGGTTAGTAGACCCAGTAGAACTTGCCATGATCGTAGTGTAAACGGAGAGATGACTGCTTGTAGTATCATGGCTTGTATCTTAACCCAACGATCTTCTGGGATGACAATACGGTTCTCTGTTGTGATGATTCCCAGCAATAGAAGATCTTGTTGATTCTAACTGCAACTTCATCAGGTTAATTAGCCATCCTAGTTGCGTGAGCAACTTAATTGTGAGGTTCAGCTGCTGTAAAAGTTGATTGGCACTTTGAAAAAACTGCATGCCGTCGTCCAGATACCCGACACTGCATAGACCTCGATGTTATCGATCGGTGCCGATAGTCTTGATTATTCATATGAATAATAATCATAAAGCCGACAATATTCCAAACCGTAGGATCTTCCATCGGACGTGATACATCATTCTTCCCCTTTATACAGAGGCGCTCTGTGCTGATCAGCATACTTCGAAGCGTTGTCTATTTATAGCACAGCTGGGTGCAGTGTAGCCTCGCCGGGGACAGGCATTCATGCCGACTTTCCTCAGCAACAACTTCCAAAATAAATCTTGTTTATGCTGCTGTGAAGGGTAGACATCTATCAGATTCCCCAGATGATAACAGGCCGTAGTTGTATACTGTTTACATGGCTGTCGATGAAGTAATCCCCCGTACCGCGTCTTTGTTTACATGTCAGTAAACTTTCTGCTGCTTGCTCTGTCAGTGGGAGGCGTCGTCTGACGTGGACCAATCAGCTTCCGAGCGTGACGTCACCGGTCTTGGTTGAGTAAAAGCGTGCGTACCTCTACGCCGCTCATATGAACCTCTTGAATAAGGGTTTATCCAGGCGTAAATTCTTGTTCAGTGATATAAATCACCTCTTCCCACTGTAGATAATATAAGCCAGCATGACGAAGTAGGCTGTCGAGACGTATATCTGCAAACTTGATATATCAGCTTGATAGGTAGACTCGTAGACTTCCTCTGCATAGTAGAAGAGGACACCGTCTTCTTCTTAGACTGGGAAGGCGTAGGTTGCGAGGTTGACGACCTTTTCTTAGTCCCCTTTGCCGCAGACTGGCCCTGTAATGTACTAGGCAACACATCACTATTATGAACATCAGCAGCAAGTAACATATGGTTTTTAGGCTGATCTCCAGATTTATCACATGTGACTAGAGATGACTTTTTCACCCGATCCATGGCAAGTCTATAAACATAAGACAGATATTGATTAAATTGTAAGTCAGTTAAATCAATACAATAGATACAACGCAAGGTGGATGAACATGGATCTGTATACAATGGACATTGGGGGTGAGGATCAGCCAGAGACAACCTGTGTTTACACACACAGCACGATTTCAAGAGTTGTAAACACGGTTACAACACGATGAAAACACGACTCAAGTCAATAAATTTTTACAAATAATACATCGTAATTATAATCAAAACCATACACAGCTTAATTTAGAAGAATAGGGCTAAAAGTAAACAATAATATTGCCGTATATGGGACTCTAGTGCATGCCCAACCATCCGCTTGGGCGAAAAGGGAGAGAGTGACAAGTAAGGCGCGTCACATGACTGGTTTTCGCGGGAAAGGGCAAAGGGAGGTAACTCGTGGGTGAGTATTGTACGTCCGCTTAGGGAACTTCAAGGGATTCAAGTGTTCCACTACCATTCGAAAGGGAAAGGGAGATAAGCAAAGATCATGAGTCAGGATAAAGAAAAATGATTTTTATTTATTGTACAATATTTTTATTAAAACATTGATACAACTGTCACAGGACATTTTCAGCCGCAGAAAATGCATATATGTACCCCAAGGATGATCTCTCTGAAAAAGGATATAGTGCCGTATAGGGGACCCAGGCGCTCTCACAACCGTCCTCTAGAGCGAAGAAGGAGAGAGTGGAGAGCGTGTTTTGTCATGTGACAGATTTTGCCGCCAAAATGCCTAAGGGAGGTAACACTGGGTGAGTGATTTTACGTCCACTTTTTTTAAGGGAGCTTCAAAGGGGATTCAAGTGTTCCACTATCATTTGCAAGAAGAAAGAGACAAGCAATTAAGCATGAGTCAGGATAAGGAAAAATAAGACTTTACCTGCTTTCCAACTGGTACAGATCCAACACTCATCCGTTCATAGTTCTTAATCTTCTCTTGACTCTGGTTAACTTGTTTCTCTAACATTCCAATGTAGTCATCGAGATGGCTTTACACGCAGCTTATTAGTTCTTCCACCTCACCTCTTGACTGTATATAGAGATGGCAAAATTACAACATTGCAGGATAATCTCTGATCTGACTGGATATACAAAGATGGCAATCTTATTAGATTCTTGTACAACATTGTGGGATAATCTCTGATCTGACTGGATATACAAAGATGGCAATATTAGATCTTGCACAACATTAATAATCTCTGATCTGGGATAATCTCTGATCTGACTGGATATACAAAATGGCATTATTAGATCTTGCACAACATTGTGGGATAATCTCTGATCTGACTGGATATTTGTGGGATAATCAACTGGATGATGGCAATATTAGTTCTTGCACAACATTTGGGATAATCTCTGATCTGACTGGATATACAAAGATGGCAATATTATTCTTGCACAACATTGTGGGATAATCTCTGATCTGATGGCAATATTAGTTCTTGCACAACATTGGGGATATTCATATACAAAAATGGCATTATTATTGATATTCTCTGACTAAACATACACAGATGGCAATATTAAACCGTGCAAAACAAATAAAACAAATACAACAAATATTCTCTTATCTAACTGGAAATACAAAGATGGCAATATTTGATCTCTAAGGACATATGGGGATACTTGGGCGCTAGTCTGATTCAAACACTGATATATTTGTGAAGTGATAATTTCAGAACACAGTACTCCATGAACAATGCTTGGGTGTAGACTGACCAGGGCAAGCTCCTCCTTCAGCTTGTCAATCTCCTTCTCCATGTCCTTGTTAGACTTGCTGAGCTCCATCATCTTATCATAGTTCCTGGATAGCTCCATCTCCACCTGCTTCACATACTGGACATCTGCAGGGATGGCCTGTCCTTCCAAGTCCTCCTTCCTCTATAACACACATGGCAGGCAGTGGTTAGAGTATAAATAGACTTGACTAGATCAATAGCAGGGGAGGGACTTGGAACAAATGGTATATTTCTCAGTGTAGCATCACCTGCAGCTCGGAAACTAGGTCCAATTGACATGTGGTGTAACCTCACCTGCAGCACTGTAACTAGGTCCACCTGATATGTGGTGTAACCTCACCTGCAGTGGTGTAACTAGTCACCTGGTGTAACCTGACATGTGGTGTAACCTCACCTGCAGTGCTGTAACTAGGTCTACCTGACATGTGGTGTAACCTCACCTACAGCACTGTAACTAGGTTCACCTAACATGCAGTTTTAGCTCACCTGCAGCACTGTAACTAGGTCCACCTGATATGTGGTGTAACCTCGCCTACAGTGCTGCAACTAGGTCCACCTGATATGTGGTGTAACCTCACCTGCCATGCTGCAACTAGGTCCACCTGACATGTGGTGTAACCTCACCTGCAGCACTGTAACTAGGTCCACCTGCCATGTGGTGTAGCCTCACATCACCTGCAGTGCTGTAACTAGGTCCACCTGACATGTGGTGTTACCTCACCTACAGCGCTGTAACTAGGTCCACCTAACATGTGGTGTAACCTCACCTGCAGCACTGTAACTAGGTCCACCTGACATGTGGTGTAACCTCACCTGCAGTGCTGTGACTAGGTCCACCTGACATGTGGTGTAATCTCACCTCACTTGCAGTCCTGTAACTGGGTCCACCTGACATGTGGTGTATCCTCACCTCACCTGCAGCGCTGTGACTAGGTCCACCTGACATGTGGTGTAACCTCACCTGCAGCACTGTAACTAGGTCCACCTGACATGTGGTGTAACCTCACCTGCAGCACTGTAACTGGGTCCACCTGACATGTGGTGTAACCTCACCTCACCTGCAGTGCTGTGACTAGGTCCACCTGACATGTGGTGTAACCTCACCTGCAGTGCTGTAACTAGGTCCACCTGACATGTAGTGTAACCTCACCTGCAGCGCTGTGACTGGGTCCACCTGACATTGCTGTAACTAGGACCAACTGAAATGTAGCCTCACCTTCATCAGTGCTTCAATCTGTTCCTCCAACTCATCCTTCTCAAGACGATGGAACTCTTGCAAGTCTCGCAGAGATATATCATGGTGAGCCAGGGTTGTGGCCTTGTCAAGCTCCAGACTCTGCATTGCCAGGTCATTCATCACTTGATCCAGCTTGACCTTGACCGTTAGCAGGTCAGTCTCCAGCTTCTCATTCTTGGATTCCAGTTCCAGAACCTGATTACCTAGTTGAGTGTTGACCTCATGAAGCTCTTCATTCTCCTTCTTCCTGGAAAACAGCAAGAATGCTTGTACTAGAAATGATTTGATATCCTTATATCCCTTCAGCAGATGAAAACAGTATGCAAAAGAACAAGCTATTTTGGTCAAACATTCATGTTATGGCTAAATGTCATATGTACCATGTTCTGCATGAAGAGCATAAGTTTTTCTGATCATGTAATTTTTTAAGTAAAATTGATATTTTTATACTTATCCTGACTCATGATCTTTTGCTTATCTCCCTTTCCCTTTCGAATGGTAGTGGAACACTTGAATCCCTTGAAGTTCCCTAAGCGGACGTATAAATACACTCACCCACGAGTTACCTCCCTTTTGCCCTTTCCTGCGCAAAACAGTCAGGTGACCTGCCTTACTTGTCACTCTGTCCTGAATTTCTGCCCATGCACTTGGATCGCTGTGAAATCTCAAATGTCTTCAACGGGGATTGGGAGGGTGTCTCGTCATGAGTCAGGATAAGTATAAAAATATCAATTTTACTTAAAAAATTACATATTTTTACTTATCCTGACTCATGATCTTTTGCTTATAGCATCCGACAGATTGGTGGTGGGTCAAGCCACTTTGTGGATTCAACAGCTGTCCTTAGATACGTCCTGTATCCCCCCCATGGGAACTGCGAAACAGCATTTCCGTGGTCGTATTCTTCCAACTTCCGTTATAACTCGGGGGGACCACTTTCTTGTCTTACTTCAATCTCAGACGGGGTGGTGGGGTAGTCTAGTGGTAAAAGCGTTGGCTCGTCACGCCGAAGACCCGGGTTCGAATCCCCACATGGGTACAATGAGTGAAGCCCATTTCTGGTGTCTCCCGCCGTGATATTGCTGGAATTTTGCTAAAAGCGGCGTAAAACCAAACTCAGTCAGTCAGTCAGTCAATCTCAGACAAGTTGAATCATGTTGATTCATGTGGCTACAGATAAACTAGTATCTTCCTATTACTAGATATCTCATAACAACCCAAAGATTATGATAAGATCTTTATCATAAATGAGTTGCGACCCCTTCTCGTACAGTTAAGATCTTTACCCGTACAGGATCTTTAATCACACATGCTACCCTGTCCTAGACTGTGCGCATGGACTTTCAAACTAGTACTTTCCTTTTAGTAAAAGTTATCAACAAGTCAACGTGATAAAGGGTGAGATTTTCCAACTCAGCGCCTTTGAGGAACCGTTAGTTGCTGTGCTACAACAAGAGGCCCAAATTGGTGAATGCCTGAGACGTCTTCAGTGGCTATGTCTCGGAGGTAGTGGTTAGCAAACACCATGTCGGACTTCCAAAAGCAGCCCTCCATAATTGTTGGTATAGAGCAATTTCAGTGCAGAGCCAGTGTTGACACAAGTGCTCTGAATTCGTGTGGGTTGGAAGCTCTAGGAGGTTCTAGTCCTGCTGCTTTATAGGCTCTCAATATAACGGCTCTCATCCAGAACGATATGGTCGTTCTTGAGACTTCTGCTGAAGTCTCTGTTGTCTCTGTTGATAATGGGATGAACAGGCGCTTGAATTTTTGTCTCCTTGTATCAGTCTTTTGAAGATATATCTTCAGGGCTCTGACCGGACACAAGGATAAGTCCTCTATATCCTGTGGGCCGAGGATTGTAGATAGCGCAGGTACGTGGAACTGTCTATCTGGCTGACCAGGTAGCTGGTTCTTGGCAATAAAGTCCCATCTAAGTCCTAGATGAACTGCATTATGTTGCCCTCTGTCGAATCTGGTTCAACCAAAGTCCAGCGCATGTATCTCTGATATTCGAGCTGCCGTGGCTAGCGCAAGCAGGAACAGAGTCTTCTGTGTTAGCAGCTCGAGTGTAATCTGGTCTAGTGGTTCGTAGACATCACTCGTAAGATGATGTAGAATTACATTTAGATCCCAAGCTGGAGCTCTGAATTTCTTTTGCTGGTCCTCCAGCTTAAAAGATCTCAGCAGAGGAAGTAATTCTGGTACTTTCATCAACTTGATGCCTGTTTTCATGGTAATCACTGTACTGATAGCGGCGAGGTACGTAGATAATGTCGAACCCTTCAGATGTCTGGTCTGTCTGATGACACAGATATTCCGCTACTTGAGGATGAGTAGCTATCATCGCAGTGAAGCCCTTCCGCCTTGCATAAGTCTCAAACTTCAGCCATTTGTCATCATATAGGTTACGAGTAGATCTGCGTAACGCTAGCGTTACTGCTTTGGCTGCCCTGGCGGAGTATCCTCTTTTCTTCAAGCATGTTTTGATACGGTCCACACATGTAACTGGAATACTGTCGGGTTTCCGTGGACTTGCTTGGTGTGCGGATGTATTAGGTTCGGCCAATCTGGTAATTTGATTACTGGACTTCCAAGATCTTCTATTAGGTCTGGAACCGTGCTCTCGCTGGCCAGTAGGGCGCGACCAAAGTCAGTTGTAGCCTCTGAGTCTGTTTGATCTTGAACAGTACTTTTGGCAGTAGTATCGGGGGCGGAAATGCGTAGGCGTTTAGTCCTTTCCACGACATGCTCAGTGCATCTGTTGCCCAGGCTTGAGGATCTGGAACTGGTAAGACAAACGTCTGTAGTTGTTTGTTGAACCTCGTGACAAACAGGTCTATGTAAGGGGATCCTATTTCCCTTATGTTCCGAAACGCTTCTGGATGGAGCATCCATTCCGTAGGTGACGGGTGCAATGGTCGGGAGAGAGCGTCTGCCAGTACGTTCTTAGCTCCGGGTATGCGACACGCCTTTATCCAGATGTTTGCTTCCTGTGTGATCTGGAACAACTGGAATGTGAGCTGCAATGGGCTTGGAGACCTTGTGGATCCTTGCCAGTTTATGGAGAATGCCACTGTGGAGTTGTCCGTGAGGACCATCAGCATTTTGTTGTTCAGCAAGCTCGACCATATTTTTGAGGCGTTGATCACGGCTTTCATCTCTAGCAGATTGATGTGAAGCTGCTGTTCTATTTTGGACCACTTTCCCGACGCCATTTGATTGTTGAGATGCGCACCCCATCCCTGCATCGAGGCGTCTGCGTAGAGCTGTCTGTCGAAGGCCGGCTCTTGTAAATAGGTCCCTCTGCAAACGTTTGACCTGTGTGTCCACCACAGTAGATACCTCTTAAGATTGTCTGGCAGCAAGATAGGGTTGACGCTGTCCAGATGTTTTGTCAGGAACCGTTGCAGCGTCCTTAGTTGTAATATTCCTGTGCGTGTAAAGTCCTGCGCCTGAGGTTAGTAGACCGAGTAGACATTGCCATGTTCGTAGTGTTAACGGAGAGATGACTGCTTGTGGAATCATGGCTTGTATCTTGACCCAATGATCTTCTGGGACCACAATTCGATTCTGTGTTGTCATAATTCTTATTCCCAGCAATTGAAGATCTTGTTTGATTCTAACTCCGATCTTCATCAGGTTCACTAGCCATTCTAGTTGCGTGAGCAACTTAATTGTGAAGTTCAGCTGCTGTCTGAGTTGATTGGTTCTTTGAAGAACCTGTATGCTGTCGTCCAGATAACCGGCACTGCGTAGACCTCGATGCTGCAGATAGGTGTCGATAGGCTTGATTATTCGTATGAATAATCATAGAGCCGACGATATTCCATGGACTTTCCATTGGAAGTGCTAACCTCTGATTGCAGTGATGATACACATTCTTCCCCTTATATACACAGGCGATCTGTGTTGACATCGAAGCGTTGTCTATTTATAGCAAGGCTGGCTCCAGTGTAGCATCGCAGGGGACAGGTACTCATACCGACTTTTATCAGCGACAACTTCCAAAATAAACATCGTTTATCCTGCTGTCAAGGTTAGACATCTATTAGATTCCCATGATGATAACAGGCTGTAGTTGTATACTGTTTCCAAGGCTGCCGATGAAGTATTCCCCTGTACCACGGGTTTGTTTACAAATCAGAAAACATGCTGGAGCCTGCTCTGTCAGTGGGAGGCGTCACCAGTGTTGTAGCAAGTTGGCCTCCATAAAATCTGATGCAATTAGTTGGTTGAGTAAAAGCGCGTGTAATTCTCGCTGCTCATATAAACCTCTTGACTAAGGGTTGCTCCAAGTGTAAATTCTTGTTCAGTGATATAAATCACTTATTCCCAGCATGACGAAGGAGGCTGTTGAGACGTATGTCTGTATGGATCTTGAAGAAATACCGATGTTGAATCTAGTTGATAGGATATAAATTCCTAATCCCCACGCTGAGCGACGAGTGTTAATAATATCATCTGTACGTCCGTTCAAGGATACTTGAAGGCGTTGTTAACCTTAAGCCCTTTACAAAGGTCGCCTTGAGGATCTCCAGTACTTGAGATATCGGCTTCATAGGTGATATCATATTGGAGTCGAAGTCATCAGCGTATATGCAGTACGTCTCTGTTGGGTTGGAGTGAGTGAGTGAACGACAATATCCGCAGGCCATCTGCTACCGGTATAAGACCTCAGCATCTGTATAGATGAAGTGATTCCTATCATTAAGTAGGTTGTTGTCCTGAAACTGAACTTATACAGGTATAAGGTTTGTGCAGGTTGTAGAGTTGTGCAGGCTGTAACTGTAGAGATCGCACATGTAGATCTTTTTGTTGAGTTTTAAACTCTGACAAAACCATCCGTTTTCATCATTGCTTCGTTTTATTCAGCCGTATAGTAATAGAGTCAACGTCAACATCCTACCTGTTGATGTAAGGGTTTGTTAACCCTCGGGTTTGCGAACCCTGTAGATGTCTGCGTTGCTGTTATCTGCCTGTAGATCTGAGAGTTCTCGAACCGTGTAGATGTCTGTAGCTTTCTCAAAGCTGTGCGTAGGTTAGAAGGTACCTTGGATATAGGTTCAATTGGAGGAATAGTCACCAAGTTAAAGTCGTCGTTGCGCATCATATAAGTGTAGACTTCATCTTTATCCTTAGAAAGAGACTCCAAGTTCAACCCGTTGGCAATCCACGCTGTAACATCTGAGTCTGGGAAGACTAAGTCTGTTTGCAAGTCCAAAGTCTCCTGATTATTAGTGCTAGGTCTCAACGATTCATCCATCTGCGAACATGTATCCCTTCTCGAACCTTCATCATCCTTTCGCGAACCTGTCTGAAGATTCCTCCCTATGCGAACGTCTATCTTGGGAGTGTTCTCTTCCCGAACCTCTATCTGTATAAACATCTCTTCGCGAACCTCTGTGAGGTGAGCTATCTCTTCGCAAACGTCTATCGTAGGGCGAACTCCTGTGCTGTGAGCTTTCTCTTCGCGAACCTCTGTCTTATGGTGAGTGACTTCGCGAACGTCTGTGAGAGATATGAGATCTCGATCTACAGCGACTAGGTGTAGGAGCTGAATCCTTCAATGTTCTCGAACGTTGAGGGTTCGCCGATGTAGAATTGAGAGTAGGCATCTCATCTCTTCTATCCTCCAAGATGACAGAGTTGTCCGACTGTGGAGACCTTTGCAAAGGTGTACGTTTTATGAGGAGTAGGTTCACACAGGTCCGTAGGTTTGCGCACGGTGTCGGTCAATGAGAGGCTTTTCCTAGCCTTCGCGTCCTCCTGGAACCTACGCTCCTTCATGGCCATCGTCTGGTTGGTGAATTGTTTCATAATTCGCCTGGGTCAAAGTTCTGCATAGGTTGAAGCTGCTGTGGTGTAGACGAAGCGTTTGCGAACGCTTATGAGTTCTGTGCCTCAACTTCACTCCGAGAAGTAAGAGGTAGTTCTTCAAACAGCTGTCCTGCTGTGACCGTTGTAGGGGACGATCTCGTAGTTGTAGAGGTCGATTGAGTCGCTGATCTCATAGATACTTCGGGTAGAAGTAATGGGGGTTCATCAAAGACGTCTAATTCGTGTGGAGGTAATATCTCTTCGTTGAAGGATTTCTGCTGTGTTGATGTACTAGCACGCGTAGATTTGCCCTCCGATCTGGTAACAGATGCTTTCGTCTGCGTTGTAGAAGAGGATGACGTCTTTTTCTTAGCCTGAGACGGAGTCGACTGCGATGTAGACAATCTCTTCTATGCCCCATTACCAGCAGACTGCCACTGTAACGCACTAAACATAGCACCAGTATTATGAACATCAGAAGTAGAAAGCAACATACGGTTTGAAGGCTGATCTCCAGTTTTATCAACCGTGACTTGAGATGACTTTCTCACCCGATCCATGGCACGTCTATAGATATACGACAAATGTTGATTAAATTGAAGATTTGATAAATCAACACAATAAGTACAGCGCAAGCTGGAAGAACATGGTTTTATGCACGAAGGCACTGGGGGTGATGATCAGCCACGGATAACCTGTGCCTGCAAACACTGCAAGATTTCATGAAATGTAAACAAAGTTACATGACGATGAAAACACAACTCAAATGTAAATAATTTCTTCAAAATGTTTACAAATACTACATAGTAGTTATAGTCAAATCCATATACATCGTAATTTTGAAGAATAGGACCTAAATATAAAAGGATAAAATGCCGTATATATGGGACTCCAGGGAGAGAGTGACAAGTAAGGCAGGTCACCTGACTGTTTTGCGCGGGAAAGGGCAAAAGGGAGGTAACTCGTGGGTGAGTGTATTTATATGTCCGCTTCGGGAACTTCAAGGGATTCAAGTGTTCCACTACCATTCGAAAGGGAAAGGGAGATAAGCAAAAGATCATGAGTCAGGGTAAGCAAAAATAAATGCTTTTTGATGGCTGCATATTTACATACACTTAAATGGTGTCTGCATTGATCATAGTAAATCTATGTTCAACGTAGGTGATGGGCCTCTTATAAGACCACCACCTTTCAGTGAACAGTCACGATTTTCCATATAATGCAGCAGGTAGTTCATCTCAAGGCTGGTCACATTTTCGGACATTGTAAAATTGGTGAATAGAAAGATTTCCGTCAAAGCTCATTTGACAAACCCAAAGCTAAATGATTGGCAGATATGAAAGACTTACAGATCTTCTATTTCCTTTTTGTGTGTTTGATCCTCTGACCTCCTTCCTGATCTCCTTGAGTTTGTGATAAAAGATTTTTTATTTGTGGTGTCCAGAGATATGAAGAGGGAGTCGTCTGCCGTGAGGTCATCAGGAGGAAGTTGCAAGAATGATGGCTCTTCTTCCTCCAGGGCAGGGAAACTGAAATGTCGACTGGAGAGAGGCTTGCCTACCTGGGGCAAGTCACTTTGAGGTAGCAGCAGGGGCTCACTTGATGGGAGCTTGAAGTTATGAAATGCTGCCAACAATAATATAAAAAATTGATTATTATTCGAAATAGATTTCACTGAGTGTGAAATTCAAACTAGCAGAGAAAATTATAAGCAAATTCTTGATGTACAAATGGGGACTACATAAGAATAAATTCTGCAAATTAACAGATAGTAAATGCCATAAAGAAGTCATGTTTTGCTGAAAACATTACCTACATATGAAGTAAAATAAAACATTCAGGAATTAATAATGTAATTTTCTGAGTAAAATTGATATTTTATACTTATCCTGACTCATGTATTATTGCTTGTCTCCTTCCTTTCCCGAACGTTAGTGGAACACTTGTATCTCCTTTTTGAAGCTCCCTTAAAAAAAGCAGACGTAAAATCACTACTCACCACGAGTTGTCTCCCTCTGGTTTTGACGGGAAAACGGCGCCACCCATCTTCCCACGCTTCACTCTCTCCTTCTCCCTAGTGGACGGTTGGGAGAGCACCTGTGTCTCCAACACGGCATTATATCCTTTGATAACTTAGTTATTTCCCTATAAGTTACCTTTATAAGGTTTCAGGGAGTATCCTTCTACAATATGGTTTGAAATTTATTCGGAATTTGACTGTTTATTCACGGTTTTACGTGATTGTTCAGTTTGTTTACATTTCATGAAAACCTGTTTTCGTTGTAGGTTTAGGTTATCTGCTGCAGACCCGCATTTATTGTGCCCCAGTTGCACAACAATATGTACTTCCAGCTCTCGCTGTAAATTATGTCAGCAATTAACACAATTGAATTTAATAATTATTATTTCTCTGTACTAAGGCGTGCTAAGGATAAATCCAGACGACTTTTGCAAGTCATGGCTAAACCGTCTGAGTCCCTAAAGAGCTGTCTATCGTTGTCAGACGACATACTTCCATCCAGTGACCTGCCGGAGGTGTCCTCGGAAGATGGGCGTGGGATGATGTCCGCCATTACATCCAAGAAAAGGTCTTCTACGTCGGACAACTCCTCAACCCATATGAAGAAAAAGAGGCCATCTTCAACGCAGAAGAAGTCTTACAACCCTAAGACTTCAACCAGTTCTGACGGAGAGTTAAATGCATGAGATTACAAGGATCTTTTTCGGCTGAAATCGTCCTGATGGAAGAGAGAGGCCTTTATGATGAGCCGCTGTTGATCATCCCAGAGATACAGCATAAGAAAAGGAAGCAGGCCTCAGCAACGGTAACGTCAGCAGCCATCTCTACGCAGTCCGAGTTACCTTCTACACTGACAGCAGAGATCCATGAGGCACAGCGATCCCTGGACCATATCGCTACCATCTCAGATACGACATCTCTACAGTCGTCGCAGACATTCAACCCCGGGGCCTTTATGCAGCAATTCTCTCAACAAATGATGGAGATGATGGAGAAGCGCTTGGCACAAGAAAGAACCTCGCATGATGGACAGCCAGGCGGCTTTCATGCTGAAGTCATCAACCTCAGAGAGGATCCAGTGTGGCCAGTGTGGCCGATGATATTCCAAATGGCAGGACTTTCCATTGGTAGTGTCGTCCGTCTAGTAGGAATCTGAGGTACTTCCTTGATTCCGGATGTATAGGAATATGCAGATATGCGTCCTGTAGATCTATGCTGGCCATGTGGTCTAACGGACGGACGAGATGTAGTAGTTGAGGCAGATGAATCATGCTGAACTTTGCTGGTTTGCGTAGATAATCTCTTTTGAATGTCCTCATGTTGTAAATAAGTCGGAACTTTTCTTTGGAGTTTTTCTTTGGTACGAGGAAAACTGGGGAGTAGAATCCTGGTGAGATCTGGTCCTGGTCTATCACCTCTATAGCGTCCTTGTAGTCTCTCTGTCCGATGGGTTGCAAAGTTGAACCTCTGTGGTGCCTTTGTTAATGGAGGGGCTGCTTGTAGTTGTATATGATATCCGTCTCTAAGGGTGTTGGATACAAATGGATCTTGAAGAATTCCCCAGTTCTCCCAGTAGTGTTGTAGACGTCCACCCACTTGGGAAGGTTGAACAGGAACGGCTGGGGGTGGAAGACTCCAGTCGTTCCGAACCCGTCCTTCATTGTCTATAGCCTCTGGCACCTCTGGGTGCCCTGCCTCGTCCGGATCGTCCTCTACAGTTGCCAGATGGGCGTCGAAAAGAATCCTTTCCTCCTTTGGAGTTCCCCATTTTCTATTCTCTTGCTTTCTGGATGCCTGCAAACTTAGATTTGCCAGAGTAGCGTTGGGACGTCTGTCTTGTGACACTGGCTAGTGTATCAATGGACTTGATCATCAAGACTTCCCTAGATTCCTTAGTGACTTCCTTGGCAACCTCGTCAATCTCCCCTGCGAAGATGGATGTTGTAGACCATGGAGCTCTGTACAGCATCTTAGCGAAGCGTTCACTCCAGTTACATGACGACAATAGTCCTTGTCTTCTAGCGAGCGTCAATGCCGCTGATATGGATAATAAATGCTCCGACATGAATTGGTGGTCCTTTTTCTGCGTTAGTAGGGCAGAATAAATCATCCGGTCTTCCTCTGCAGTAGAGTTCCTAAACTTGGCGATGAGCGTCTCATTAACTGCCCTGGATCTGTTAAGTCCGAAGAACATCCTTCTGGTAATAGTGTCTATCTGTGCCAGCTTTTTGTCATCAATCTTGTAAGATTTGGTCCGGGAGTCGTTGATGATTTTATAGTTCTCGTCCAGTTCTTGTGCCTTCACAAAGGGGTCCATGTTGTGTAGAGAGAACTTCTTTGCGTTGAACTGTGGGATATTAGGAGACTGGAACTTAGTTGCCTTTCTAAAGGCTACATCCAAATCCTCTGGTACTTCCGAGATCGGATCAATTGGAGGTAGAGTGATCGTGTCCACATCATCGTCCTTCATTAGGTACGTAAATGCTTCATTCTCTTCCTTAGAGGGTGACGCTAGGTCCAGTCCATTAGCCATCCAATATTTTAACACTGAGTCAGAAAATATGATACTGCCATCGTCCTCTGTATCATGTCCACTGGTATAAGATCGTTGACCATCCTTTGTTGGGGATCTGCGTGGCGATCTATGTGGCGATCTATGTGGCGATCTACGTGGGTATGAGTGTGTTGAACTACGTCTAGTTCTAAGAGGCGATCTGTATGGCGACCTGCGTGTAGGTGAGCGTCTTCTAGGCCGGGATTGCCTTCCTGGCAATGTATTCCTAAGTGGTGAATCCTGTGACGACCTGCGAGATGTTGTTGACACCCTTGAAGATAATTCGGATGACCTTCGCGCAGGTGAGAGGTTTTGTTGAGGGTCTGAGTCGAGACGTCTCTCTAAACCTTCTAGGTGGTGTAGGTTTCTTTCTCTGTGAAGTGGGTAGCCTGCGGGAAGGTTCTTCATTAGCCTCATCATCTGATGACGATCTATTTGGTTCTGAAGAACCGTCCTGCGCGCAGGTTTGCTGTCGTCATGTAGCGTAGATCTGCTCTTGGTCCTAGAGCTAGATTCTCTGGTAGGCCTCTCAGATGTATCATCAGTGTGGGGTCCTTCGTGTAGCACTGGATCCTCTCTGAGGTTGATGACTTGAGCATGAGAGCCGCCTGGCTGTCCATCATGCGAGGATCTTTCTTGTGCAAAGCGCTTCTCCATCTCCATCATTTGTTGAGAGAATTGCTGCATAAAGGCCCCCGGGGTTGAATGTCTGCGACGACTGTAGAGATGTCGTATCTGAGATGGTAGCGATATGGTCCAGGGATCGCTGTGCCTCATGGATCTCTGCTGTCAGTGTAGAAGGTAACTCGGACTGCGTAGAGATGGCTGCTGACATTACCGTTGCTGAGGCCTGCTTCCTTTTCTTATGCTGTATCTCTGGGATGATCAACAGCGGCTCATCATAAAGGCCTCTCTCTTCCATCAGGACGATTTCAGCCGAAAAGGTCCTTGTAATCTGCGACGAACTCCCCGTAGAACTGGTTGAAGTCTTAGGGTTGTAAGACTTCTTCTGCGTTGAAGATGGCCTCTTTTTCTTCATATGGGTTGAGGAGTTGTCCGACGTAGAAGACCTTTTCTTGGATGTAATGGCAGACATCATCCCACGCCCATCTTCCGAGGACACCTCCGGCAGGACACTGGATGGAAGTATGTCGTCTGACAACGATAGACAGCTCTTTAGGGACTCAGACGGTTTAGCCATGACTTGCAAAAGTCGTCTGGATTTATCCTTAGCACGCCTAAGTACAGAGAAATAATAATTATTAACTTCAATTTGTGTTAATTGCTGACATAATTTACAGCGAGAGCTGGAAGTACATATTGTTGTGCAACTGGGGCACAATAAATGCGGGTCTGCAGCAGATAACCTAAACCTACAACGAAAACAGGTTTCATGAAATGTAAACAAAACTAAACAATCAAGGCCGAATGAGATCGAGCCGACCGGGCGATCCACCCCGAGATTCTCGCCCGCTCGAGGTGGGTGAGGAACTCCTGCCGGAGACCTCCAACCACTCACTTAACGGTAAGGACTTCATCGAGTCGTAAAAACCGTGAATAAACAGTCAAATTACTTAATAAATTTCAAACCATATTGTAGAAGGATACTCCCTGAAACCTTATAAAGGTAACTTATAGGGAAATAACTAAGTTATCAAAGGATATAGTGCCGTGTTGGAGACACAGGTGCTCTCCCAACCGTCCAACTAGGCGGAAGAAGGAGAGTGAAGCGTGGGAAGATGGGTGGCGCCGTTTTCCCGCCAAAACCAGAGGGAGACAACTCGTGGTGAGTAGTGATTTTACGTCTGCTTTTTTTAAGGGAGCTTCAAAAAGGAGATACAAGTGTTTCACCAACGTTCGGGAAAGGAAGGAGACAAGCAATAATACATGAGTCAGGATAAGGAAAAATAATGCACTTTATAACAAACAAACATGCATACACGCATGCACACACACAAAGTAAAGGCATGTCCTTGGCTTTAAGATTATAATTGTTAATTTCCATGTGCATATGCTACTGGGATCATATGGTACCAGGTCATGTTCTACCCTTAATGCAAAGGCAGAGTTGCAACACCATGTTGCAGTAGCAGCATATCAAATGCTGTACTGCCCTGGTCAGCTGTTTCTCCAGAACTCTCGCCAACAGAACGTGTCTTGAATGAAATGTAAGGATGCCCATGACTGGACAAGAAGCATCCAGTAACACAAGCTCAGTTTGGCTAATTCTTTTGCTGACATTTGCAACAACATGCGCATATTGTTTTCAATTATCTGGTGTGTTCAATGTGCCGCCACTGCCTTGTCTGAATTATCACAGCTGATTCTGTGATGTTCACTAAGGTGTTAAACCCTCACCATTTCATAGCGATGATGTCTCCTGATACCAGATATGGGTTGTGTTATTTTAAATAAAATAATACCAACACCACTTCATACAAAAGTACAGTTACATTTTGCAATCCGGCTGCAACTAATAATTCTAATTCAAATTTGAACACGGGTTCTGACTGGTCAATGCTATAAATTTCTGACTGTATAATAGCCGCAAATTTAACGTTATATCGGCTCTGCTTACGGGTCACCGATATAACTAAATTTTTGTAACATAATCACCGGTATACGTCCCAATTCGTCAGACACAGTACAGTTATCCCCTAAGCATCACATCACAAAATAAGACTGAATTTGCTGGTTGTTTGGAAGGTGTTGCATGTTTAGTGAATGGATAGTCTGATACCTAGCTGATACCCGACTTACACTGACTGACAGAGTTTGGTTTTACGCCGCTTTTAGCAATAATCCAGCAACATCACGGCGGGGGGACACCAGAAATGGGCTTCACACATTGTGCCCATGTGGGGATTCGAACCCGGGTTTTCGGCGTGACGAGCCAACGCTTTAACCATAAGGCTACCCCACCGCCCCGTCTGACTTACAGTTAGTGTTGTACACTAAACCCTCTACACATGGTACAAGGAGACATGTGGAGTGACATGGCAAAGTGTGTGCAGCCATACAGGGAGACAAAATAGTACCTGAACTGCTCATCTTCAGCTTTTTACCACACCATGTTTCTCTTCGCAGTTTCTTTGACTGAAAATAAGGTGTTATTTGGTAAAGAATATTGACAATTGATGCAAACATTATTTTATATTCAGGGCTTTACATGACGCATGATTCCAGCGTTTTTGACGCAACAATTTTCTAAAAGACTCTCAAAATATTATCATACGATTCAAGCTTGACACAAGTTTTAAGAGTGACCCTCAGAATTCAGTTCAGTAAAATCGATTAGATAAGCAAACAATGATAGTTTTCGTTTTACTGCAAACAGTGTTGAAAACGCTTGTGTTATTAACAGAAAGTAGGGGACCTCTGAGTGGCTAAAAATAGAGTCATGCTGCAATGCGGTAAAGATACCAGCCAATAGGATATCCATAAAAAAATAGCTTGCAATTTATGTCAGGTATATTGATCAGAGGCCCAGATAAGCTGCGTATCTGGGTAAAATACGCATAGACAATTTCCAATTACGCATTGAAAAAAAAAGAAGTTGAGTACCAATTACGCATTTAAAATGTTAGATACGCAAAAAAATTAAAACAAATGCGTACAGAATATATTTATAAAAATCGCTTTCGTAATGAAAAAGACATCGATTGCTATCAAGTTGTATTGTTAGTATCAGACTATTGTTGTACTGTCAGTATAGGATGAGTGATTTTTTATGAAATCATTTCCATTATATTTAAATTGGTTTTGATTATGTATGACATGAGGCAGAACATACCTGCTTAGTAAACTTACTCACTGACGTAATACTTAGGTGAGTAAAATGACTGAAATACGCACATATTTGAAAGCAGTGGGTAACAGAAAATGAAACACCCAACCAACATTCATAATACACACTCCAAAAATGTAATTTTCTGAATAAAATTGATATTTTATACTTATCCTGACTCATGCTTATTGCATGTCTTCTTCCTCTTGCGAACGTTAGTGGAACACTTGTATCTTCTATTGAAGCTCCCTTCAATAAAAACAGACGTAAAATCACTACTCACCATGAGTTATCTGTCTGGCCGTTTTGGCGGGAAAAGTGGCGCCACCGCTCCCACATGCTTCACTCTCTCCGAATTATGAGCCCGACACTTTAATTTGCAGGGAAATCCAAAGTGTCTAGTGGGGAGGTTGGGAGGGCTTACCTCATGAGTCAGGATAAGTATAAAATATCAATTTTATTCAGAAAATTACATATTTTTCCTTATCCTGACTCATGCTTATTGCTTGTAGAATCCGTCGAATTTGGTGGTGGGTCAAGCTACTTCTGGATTTCATGTAGTGATTTACGTCTTATATACCCCCCCTATGGGAACTTCTTGTTGGCACTTCTATTTTACTGCTAGTCTCTGCTGCTGCTGTAACCCTGTACTTCCTGGCTTCTGTTAACATTTTATATGGATTTTGCGACTCCATCTCTTGATGCAAGCATCAAGTGGAGAAGCGACCCTTTCCTGTACGAGTATCCTTACAAGTACTGGGTCATATCACTTATGCTAGTCTGTCCTTAGACATGCATATAGACTCTAAAGCTGAACTCTTCTGAGTGTAGGCTTTTGCAAGTCATGTGATAAAAGGGCGAGACTTCGTCTCAGCGCCTTTGAGGGACTGTCAACTGTTGTGCAACAACCAGCGAGCCGAAATGGTGAATGCCGGAGACGTCCTCGGTGGCGATGTCCCTCAGGTAATGGTTGGCAAACACCATGTCTGATTTCCAGAAACAGCCCTCCATTATCGTCCTGATAGAGCAATTCCCATGTAGAGCGAGTTTGTCGTAAGTGACAAAGGTATTCCGCCACTTGAGGGTGTGTCGCCTTTATGGCTGTAAAGCCGATCCTCGCAGCATATGTCTCGAAACTTCGCCACTTGTCGTCGTACAAGGTGCGTGTAGACTTGCGTAGAGCTAGTGTGACTGCTTTCGCTGCCCTGGCGGAATATCCTCTCTTGTTCAAGCACGCCTTGATACGGTCCACACGTTAGCCGGAACACCTCTGGGTTGCCTGCTTTGTGTGAGGATGTACTAGTAGATTCGTCCACTCTGGTAGTTGCAGTTGAGGTTGTCCTAATTCTTGTATGAGAATGGGGAACCATATTCTCGCTGGCCAGTAAGGCGCGACCAAAATCAGTTGTAGGTCCTTCGTCTGGCTGATTTTCTGCAACACCCTCGGTATTAGAGCTGGTGGTGGAAACGCGTAAGCGTTTAGTCCTTCCCAGGAGATGCTTAGAGCGTCCGTTGCCCATGCTCGTGGATCTGGTATTGGTGAGACGAATGTTATCAGTTGATTGTTGAATCTTGTGGTGAAGAGGTCTATTAGTGGTGCTCCCATCTCTTGTATGATCTGCTTGAAGATCTCTGGATGTAGCATCCATTCTGTTGGGGATGGCTGCGTTGGACGGGATAGTGCGTCTGCTATCACATTCTTGGCTCCTGGAATGTGGCATGCTCTTATGTGGATGTTCAGGTTGTCTGTTATGCTGAACAGTTGAAAGCAGAGGTCCAGGAGGTTCGCCGACCTTGTTGATCCTTGCCTGTTTATGTAGAACGCCACTGTGGAGTTGTCCGTATGCACCATCAGATGAGCATTCTCCAGAATGTTTGTCCAGTGGAGTATGGCATTTAGTACTGCTTTCATTTCCAGCATGTTGATGTGCAGATCTTTCTCCTCTTTGGTCCATGTCCCAGCTGACACTTCGTCGTCGAGATGTGCTCCCCAACCTTGGAGCGATGCGTCCACGTAGAGATGCGTCTTGCACTCCGGCTCTGCTAAACAGGTGCCTCCGCAAACATTCGATCTCTGGGTCCACCATAGTAGATATGGGCGTAGTGCGTCCGGGACTCCGAAGGGTTCCGGGTCGTCCAGATGAGCATTGACGAAGACCTGTAGTGGGCGTAGTTGTAGTCTCCCTCTGGCTGTCATGTCTTGCGCTGACGTGAGGAGACCCAACAGACTCTGCCATTGTCGTAGTGGCCACATAGAGAGTAGAGCTGGCGAGATCGTCTGTTGTATCTTGAGCCATCAGTCCTCTGGTACCACTATGCGGTTCTGTGTTGTGATGAACCGGATTCCTAGGAACTGCAAGTCCTGTGTAGGTTCTAGGTCCGACTTGAGGAGATTCACTAGCCACCCCAGTTGTGTAAGCAGTCTGATGGTGAAGTCCAGTTGTAGTCTGAGATGCTTGGGATCTTGATGTACTTGAATCCCGTCATCTAGGTAGAATGCACTGCGTAGACCTCGATGATGTACAGGAATATGCAGGTAGGCGTCCTGTAGATCTATGCTGGCCATGTAGTCCATCGGACGGACGAGGTGTAGGAGTTGTGGTAGATGTATCATGCTGAACTTTGGTGGTCTGCGTAGATAATCTCTGTTGAAGGCCCTCATGTTGTAGATGAGTCGGAACTTTTCTTTGGAGTTTTTCTTTGGCACTTGGAAAACTGGGGAGTAGAATCCTGGTGAGAGCTGGTCCTGGTCCACCACTTCTATGGCTTCCTTCTCTAGTAGAGATGCAACCGCTTCTCGTAGCCTCTCTGTCCGATGGGTCGTGAAGTTGAACTTCTCAGGTTCGTCTGTCCACGGCGGAGCTGCTTGTAGTTGTATGCGATATCCGTCTCTTAGGATGCTGGATACAAATGGATCTTGAAGAATTCCCCAGTTCTCCCAGTAGTTTTGTAGACGTCCACCCACTTGTGAAGGTTGTACAGGAACGGCTGGGGGTGGAAGACTCCAGTCGTTCCGAACCCCTCCTTCATCGTCTCGGATCATTGGCGCCTCTGGGTGCCCTGCCTCGTCCGGGTCGTCCTCTATAGTTGCCGGCTGGGCGAAAAGAGTCCTTCCCTCCTCTGAAGGTGCTCATTTTCTTGTCTCTTGCCTTCTGGATGCCTGCAAACTTCGACTTGCCTGAGTAACGCTGGGACGTCTGCCTGATGACACTGGCTAGTGTATCGATGGACTTTATCATGAGGACTTCTCTGGAGTCTTTGGTAACTTCTTTGGCGACGTCGTCAATCTCCCCTGCGAAGATGGATGATGTCGACCATGGGGCTCTGTACAGCGACTTTCGTGGCGTTAAGCTCCAGTTGCAGGATGCCAGTAGTCCTTGTTGTCTCGCCAATGTCAACGCTGCTGAGATGGATGATAGATGGTCCGTCATAAACTTCTGGTCCTTCTTCTGCATGAGTAGAGCAGAGTAGATCATCCGGTCCTCCTCTGCGGTAGAGTCCCTGAACTTGGCGATGAGCGTCTCATTCACTGCCCTGGATCTGTTCAGGCCGAAGAACATCCTTCTGGACATCGTCTCTATCTGCGCCAGCTTTTTGTCGTGAATCTTATAAGACTTGGTCCGGGCGTCGTTGATGACCTTGTAGTTATCATCGATATCTTGTGCCTTCATGAAGGGGTCCATATTGTGTAGAGAGAACTTCTTAGCGTTGAACTGTGGAATATTCGGCGCCTGGGATTTCGTTGCCTTTCTGAAGGCTGCGTCCAAGTTCTCTGGAACTTCCGAGATGGGATCAATTGGCGGTAGAGTGATCGTGTCGACATCATTGTCCTTCATCAGGTACGTGAGTGCTGCATTCTCTTCCTTAGAGGGTGAAACTAACTTCAGTCCGTTGGCCATCCAATATCTTATCTCTGCGTCCGAGAAGATAATACCGCCATCGTCCTCTGTTTCAGGGGCGCTGATCTGGGATCGTTGATCATCCTCCGCTGGGGATCTGTGTGGAGACCTTCGTGGAGACCTGCGTGGCGATCTGCGTGGAGATGAGCCTGTAGAGCTGCGTCTGTAGGGCGATCTGCGTGGAGACCTGCGTGGAGACGAGCGTCTCTTGGGTCGTGAATGCCTCGGCGAATCCCTTGACGATTTGTGAGATGTTGATGACGTCCTTGAGGCTGTCTCCGAAGACCTTCACGAAGGCCTTCGTGAAGGCTGTTCATCTGAGTCGTCAATGGAAGGCCTCTCCGATGTGTCGTCGGCGGTGGGTCCTTTGTGCAGGTCCGGGTCCTCTCTGTGGGTGGTGTCCAGGGCTGGTTGTCAATCTCTTTCCTGCGCGAAGCGCCTCTCCATCATCTCCATTATCTGCTGCGAGAACTGCTGCATGAAGGCCCCGGGGTTGAATGTCTGTGGTGATAGATGAGCTGCCCTCTCTGCGTTGGTAGCGATATGGTCCAGGGATCGCTCATCTGCCGTCAGTGTAGATACCTCGGACTGCGTAGATAACTCCGCTGATGTTACCGTTGCTGAGGCCTGCTTCTTCTTGGGGCGATGTATCTCCGGGATGATGAGCGACGGCTCATCATAGAGTCCTCTTTCCTCCATCTGCTCGCCATCTTAGGGGTGCCGTGGCCGTCTCTGCGTAGAGGTGGATGGCTTCTTCTTCTTCTTTGTCTGCGATGAAGGGATGTCCGAAGTGGCAGCCCTCTTCTTCGAAGTGGCGGACAACGTCCCACGCCCATCCTCCAAGGACATCTCCGGCGGATCACTGGAAGGAAGAGGGTCGATCTGACAGCAGTTGACATCGTGAGGGACTCAGCCGGCTTATCCATGACTTGAAAAAGTCAGCCTGGATTTGTCTTTAGCACGCCTAAGTACAGAGAAAATATATTTATTAAATTCAATATTGGTTAAATGCTGACAAAGGTTGCAGCGAGAGCTGGAAGTACATGGTGTTGTGCAGCTAGGGCACAATAAATGCGGTTCTGCAGCAGAGAACCTAAACCTACAACAAAAACAGGTTTTCATGAAATGTAAACAACTGAACAAACACGGACACAACCGTGAATAAACAGTGAAAAATACGAATAAATTTCAAACCATATTGTTGAAGGATACTGCCTAAACCCCTATAAAGGTAATGTATAGGGTAATAACTAATAAATAAAAGGATATAGTGCCGTATAGAAGACACAGGCGCTCTCCCAACTGTCTACTAGCTCGAAGAAGGAGAGAGTGAAGAAGGTGGGAGCGGTGGTGCCACTTTTCCCGCCAAAACGGCCAGACAGATAACTCATGGTGAGTAGTGATTTTACGTCTGTTTTTATTGAAGGGAGCTTCAATAGAAGATACAAGTGTTCCACTAACGTTCGCAAGAGGAAGGAGACAAGCAATAAGCAAGAGTCAGGATAAGGAATAATAAATACAGTGGGTACAGTACCCACATGAGCTAAATCTTATCTGGGGGTCTGTTGATAGTGAACTCTCTGGGTGAACCTGATGGTATAATACCTTGACCTAACTATAAGATCGACTTATATACAGTCATATACAGTAGGCAACAATCTGTTACAAGTCATCGGCATCACCTTTGTTTCTCTTGTATCATCATTTGTTCCTGACACACAGATCATCTGGCGGAGCTTGTTGATGAGCTCATCTTGATGGTGCTGCATTTCTTCCTTTTCTTGTAATTTCTTCTGCAGGTCCACTTTCTCCAGCTGAATTTCTTGCATTCCCAACTGAAACATTTCAAGGTATATGCACGACCATCTAAAACACTACTGGGTGTGTCTCGCGCACACATGCATGCACATCCATCAGAAACATTTCAAGGTATATGCACGACCATCTGAAACACAACTGGGTGTGTCTGTGCGCACACATGCATGTCCGTCAGAAACATTTCAAGGTATATGCACAATATATGGAGCTCGGCATTAATGGGTACAACAAGGACTGGTCGGCTCGGAGTCAGTATAATGTATCTGAGTGGGGTATTCATGCTTCACTGTGGCTTGGTATCTCAGTGGGCTAGCACTATAAAACCAGCTTAAGTCTATGCAAGTACAAGCAGCCGCACATACACATACACACGCATGCACGTCGTCATATGAGCGAAATATTCTCAAGCATGACGTTAAACTCAATTTCACCTCACCTCCCTAAACTAAAACTAAAACTAAAACAGCAGTTCCAAAATCGTTTGTGTTCAATTGTGAGAAAATGTGATCGATTGCTTGGTCGTTTGGTCACTTCGACCAATCTTCGATTATTTCAATTAATCGGAACACCACTAGTACGCACACATGCATGTCCATCAGAAACATTTCAAGGTATATGCATGACCATCTGAAACACTAATGGGTGTGTCTGTGCGCACACATGCACGTCCATCAGAAACATTTCAAGGTAGATGCATGACCATGTGAAACATTTTTGGGTGTGTCCATACGCACACATGCACGTCCATTGGAAAAGTTTCAATATATACATGTATATGCATGACCATGCGAAACACTGAATTCTGGTGATAAATGTTCATGAAATACCTTATCAACCACCCTCTGTAATTTCTTAATCTCATCAGCATACTTCTTGAGAAGGGCACTATCAGATAGCACTTCATTCAGCCTCGGCTTGTTTTTTATTGTCTTGGCTCGAGAAGCAAACTGTAACATGAATAATATCATATGACCTAGCATATCATTATATTTATCAGACAGCAATTTCCTCCTTCACTGTGATCATATACTACAGAATCCAAAACTCTTCTACATCCAGGACTTCATAGTTAGGATAAGAAATCTCTTTGGAAATACACAGCTCCAGTTTACATACAAGGGCTGCAACTACTTTGCACCACACAAAGTTAGAACCACAGTAACCATGGTAACATTCTCAATACTTTCAAAAAGTGTTCGGCATTGAAACTTACCTACTGATAACAGTAAGATATATTATAGGGGCAGTTCATTTTACGATGCCATACCACAAACACAAAGTACAAAATAATAAGGTTGCTTACCCTCAGTGTGGAATGACTCTCGTCCATTGATGTTGGCGCTATCGTACAGATGATCAGAGTGTTTGAGTTTCCTCCAAGAGCATTTTGTAAGATACGAGTCAGTTTGGAATCACGATATCCAATATAGGAACTGATAGAATGTAAATGAAAAGGGATATCATTAAGGGGATATTTTCATGTGTCATGGTATATTAGCAACACTCCTTAGCCAGGTCCTGATGGCATCTGTAATTTATGCAATGTACGTAATGTACTAGGTTAATATTTAGCATATGACGCAACATTAATGATTCTTTTGGATGATTAACCATTTAGTCATTTAGTACTATTCATTATACACTGGCAAATGTGAGTGACTTTAGTTTTACGCCGCACTCAGCAATATTCCAGCTATATGGCGCTAGCAAATGTGGATTATTACAGAAATGTATTAACTATTTCTGCATAAATGACTGTTTATCACTCAGCTTGCTGATGACACACATACCTGTCTCCCTCACTCAACTTGCCGATTACACACATACCTGTCTCCCTCACTCAGCTTGCCGATTACACACATACCTGTCTCCCTCACTCAGCTTGCTGATGACTTGGCTGAGAGTGAATAAACTGCGGTTGATTGCACATCCCTCTTTGAATCTCTCACCAGAGTTGTCTGCTGCCTTCTCAGAACCAGCCAAGTCAACAAAGTTCTGAACAGAGACAATCATACAGTACAATAAAGCATGTTGTGTTGAAAGTAAGGAACATAGTCAGTCAAGTCCCATATAAACAAATATCGACTCAATGCGATGAATAAAAGAAAGAAAAGAAAGAAAAATTGCAATACACCATAAGATTTTTTGATATCAACAATATTATCTGGGGCACTGGCTGTAATTATGGTAAAATCTGCCACTTATTTGATGCCAGAATTGAGCAAAATATCTTCCTTCTTAATAAGAATAGTTACTCACAACATACCTTATGAATACTAAAATCTACAGAAATTTAAGGACACAAAAGTATCATAGCCGCAAAAGATGTTCTAAAAACTTTGGCATATATTCCAAACATTGTCCTTGTCACATTAAACCAGGCTGTATCCAACATGTTGAAGGTGGTAATCAATTCAAGCTTCGCCCCCAAAAGGTTTGCTGTCAGTATTGTTTCTATGGTTAAGTCCTTTTTCTTGTGAAATGCATGACATATTTTGGTATCCATTCTCCCAAAAGATCCCTATGAAATTTAACACATGGTAACTCGTCAAATTACTAGTTTTTGCCACATTCTTTACGGTACTATATCTTCTTTAACTATTGGATGAACAGAAATAACTATGTAGTGAGTGAGTGAGTTTAGTTTTACGCCGCACTCAGCAATATTCCAGCTATATGGTGGCAGTCTGTAAATAATCGAGTCTGGACCAGAGAATCCAGTGATCAACAGCATGAGCATCAATTTACGCAATTGGGAAATAATGACGTGCCAACCAAGTCAGCGAGCCTGACCACCTGATCCCTTTAGTCGCCTCTTACGACAAGGATGGGTTACTGAAGATCAATTCTAACCCAGACCTTCACGGGCAATAACTATGTAAATAACACACCAAGTGTGACACCATGACAGCATCAACGTCTCCCTTCAGCCGACTCTCTATGATCTGGTTAAAAAACAAATAAAATATATTAGTTAAGGCTCACTCCTAACCAATGGTAACTGTGATTTGGTGCATTAACATATACAGAAATGTTGACTGACTGAGTTTGGTTTTACGCCGCTTTTAGCAATATTCCAGCAACATCACGGCGGGGGACACCAGAAATGGGCTTCACACATTGTGCCCATGTGGGGATTCGAACCCGGGTTTTTGGCGTGACGAGCCAACGCTTTAACCATTAGGCTACCCCACCGCCCCGTCTGACTTAGAGTTAGTGTTGTATACTAAACCCTCTACACATGGTACAAGGAGGTTGTATAGGTTGTATACTCCCCAGGGAGTTGAGATTGATAATACGATGGGCCGTTGAGATTGACATCCAATGACCAGCGCTTTGAGCATGCACTAGTTGCCTGGATATGTGCGCTATATAAATATCCTATAATAATAATAATAATAAAGAAAGGTGACAGTTAAAAGAGTGAGTGAGTTTAGTTTTACGTCACACTCAGCAATACTCCAGCTATATGGCGTCAGTCTGAAAATAACTGAGCCTGGACCAGACAATCCAATGATCAACAACATGAGCATTGATCTACGCAATTGGGATATGATAACATGTGTCAACCAAATCAGCAAGCCTGGCAACCCGATCACGTTAGTCTCCTTTTATGACAAGCATGGGTTACTGAAGATCAATTCTAACCCAGATCTTCATGGGTCAACAGTTGAAAGAACAATGATAATACTTACTATTCTCAGGATAACGTGTGAACGTGAACTGCGATCATTAGCTTTTGTCTCAGCAAACTTCCTTCTTGCTACAAAAGAAATTCTATTTGAAACTTTGTAATATCTCATGACATCAACTCAACCTTAAGCTTAACACACAGTCTGCAGGTTCAGACTGTCAAAGAATTAAAGAAGTCACTGGCTCACTTCAGAGCCTCATTGTACACAGATTAGTGATGACCACTCTAGACACAGATCTGTGATGTGATGACTATACTATGCACAGATCTGCGAAGACCGCTCTATACCCAGATTAGTGATGACCACTCTATACACAGATCTGCGATGTGATGACTACACTATGCACAGATCTGCGAAGACCGCTCTATACCCAGATTAGTGATGACAGCTCTATACCCAGATCTGCCAGGACTGCTCATACCCAGGTAAGTGATGACCGCTCTATACACAGATCTGTAATGACTGCTCTATACCCAGATTAGTGATGACCGCACTATGCACAGATCTGTAATGGCCGATCTATGCAGAGATCTGTAATGACCATTCTATGCACAGACCGCTCTATGCAGAGATCTGTAATAACAACTCTGTGCACAGGTCTATAATGGCCTATCTGTTCAAAGATCTGTAATGACCGCTCTATGCACAGATCTGTAATGACCGCTCTATGCACAGATCTGTAATGACCATCTATGCACAGATCTGTAATGACCAATCTATGCACAGATCTGTAATGACCGCTCTATGCACAGATCTGTAATGACCAATCTATGCACAGATCTGTAATGACCAATCTATGCACAGACCGCTCTATGCACAGATCTGTAATGACCACTCTATGCACAGATCTGTAATGACCAATCTATGCACAGACCGCTCTATGCACAGATCTGTAATGACCGCTCTATGCACAGATCTGTAATGACCGCTCTATGCACAGATCTGTAATGATCGCTCTATACACAGATCTGTAATGACTACTCTATATACAGATCTGTAATGACCGCTCTATACAGTTCTGTAATGACTACTATGCACAGTCCGCTCTATGCACAGATCTGTAATGACCGATCTATGCACAGATCTGTAATGACCAATCTATGCACAGACCGCTCTATGCACAGATCTGTAATGACCACTCTATGCACAGATCTGTAATGACCAATCTATGCACAGACCGCTCTATGCACAGATCTGTAATGACCGCTCTATGCACAGATCTGTAATGACCGCTCTATGCACAGATCTGTAATGATCGCTCTATACACAGATCTGTAATGACTACTCTATATACAGATCTGTAATGACCGCTCTATACACAGTTCTGTAATGACCACTATGCACAGACCGCTCTATGCACAGATCTGTAATAACCACTCTGTGCACAGGTCTATAATGGCCTATCTGTTCACAGGTCTGTAATGACCGCTCTATGCACAGATCTGTAATGGCCGATCTATGCAGAGGTCTGTAATGACCGCTCTATGCACAGACCGCTCTATGCACAGATCTGTAATAACCACTCTGTGCACAGGTCTATAATGGCCTATCTGTTCACAGGTCTGTAATGACCGCTCTATGCACAGATCTGTAATGGCCGATCTATGCACAGATCTGTAATGACCATTCTATGCACAGACCTCTCTATGCACAGATCTGTAATGACCGCTCTATGCACAGATCTGTAATGACCAATCTATGCACAGACCGCTCTATACACAGATCTGTAATGACCGCTCTATGCACAGATCTGTAATGACCAATCTATGCACAGACCGCTCTATGCACAGATCTGTAATGACCACTCTATGCACAGATCTGTAATGACCAATCTATGCACAGACCGCTCTATGCACAGATCTGTAATGACCGCTCTATGCACAGATCTGTAATGACCGCTCTATGCACAGATCTGTAATGACCGCTCTATGCACAGATCTGTAATGATCGCTCTATACACAGATCTGTAATGACTACTCTATATACAGATCAGTAATGACCGCTCTATACACAGTTCTGTAATGACCACTATGCAGAGACCGCTCTATGCACAGATCTGTAATAACCACTCTGTGCACAGGTCTATAATGGCCTATCTGTTCACAGGTCTGTAATGACCGCTCTATGCACAGATCTGTAATGGCCGCTCTATGCACAGATCTGTAATGACCAATCTATACACAGTTCTGTAATGACCACTATGCACAGATCTGTAATGACCGCTCTGTGCACAGATCTGTAATGACCGCTCTATGCACAGATCCAGAATGACCATTCTATGCACAGATCTGTAATGACCACTCTATGCACAGATCTGTAATGATCGCTCTATACACAGATCTGTAATGACTGTACTCATTCTATATACAGATCTGTAATGACCGCTCTCTGTGCACAGTTCTGTAATGACTACTATGCACAGATCCGGCTCTATGCACAGATCTGTAATGACCGATCTATGCACAGATCTGTAATGACCAATCTATGCACAGACCGGCTCTATGCACAGATCTGTAATGACCACTCTATGCACAGATCTGTAATGACCAATCTATGCACAGATCAGACATGATGCCTATGCACAGATCTGTAATGACCGCTCTATGCACAGATCTGTAATGACCGCTCTATGCACAGATCTGTAATGACCGCTCTATGCACAGATCTGTAATGATCAATCTATGCACAGATCTGTAATGACTACTCTATATACAGATCTGTAATGACTACTCTATACACAGATCTGTAATGACCACTATGCACAGACCTGCTCTATGCACAGATCTGTAATAACCACTCTGTGCACAGGTCTATAATGACCTATCTATTCACAGACCGCTGTAATGACCGCTCTATGCACAGATCTGTAATGGCCAGATCTATGCACAGATCTGTAATGACCATCTATGCACAGACTGTAATGCTCTATGCACAGATCTGTAATGACCACTCTATGCACAGATCTGTAATGACCAATCTATGCACAGACCGCTCTATGCACAGATCTGTAATGACCATGCACAGATCTGTATGCACCAGATCTGTATGCACAGACCCGGCTCTATGCACAGATCTGTAATGACCACTCTATGCACAGATCTGTAATGACCAATCTATGCACACCATCTGTATGCACAGATCTGTAATGACCAGCTCTATGCACAGATCTGTAATGATCACTCTATGCACAGATCTGTAATGATGGCCTATCTGTTCACAGATCTGTAATGACCGCTCTGCACAGATCTGTAATGACCGCTCTATGCACAGTTCTGTAATGACCACTATGCACAGACCGCTCTATGCACAGATCTGTAATAACCACTCTGTGCACAGGTCTATAATGGCCTATCTGTTCACAGGTCTGTAATGACCTTCTATGCACAGATCTGTAATGACCGATCTATGCACAGATCTGTAATGACCATTCTATGCACAGACCTCTAATGCACAGATCTGTAATGACCGCTCTATGCACAGATCTGTAATGACCAATCTATGCACAGACCGCTCTATGCACAGATCTGTAATGACCACTCTATGCACAGATCTGTAATGACCATGCACAGATCTATGCACAGACCGCTCTATGCACAGATCTGTAATGACCGATCTATGCACAGATCTGTAATGACCGCTCTATGCACAGATCTGTAATGACCGCTCTATGCACAGATCTGTAATGATGACTCTATACACAGATCTGTAATACAGATCTATATACAGATCAGTAATGACCACTCTATACACAGTTCTGTAATGACCACTATGCACAGACCGCTCTATGCACAGATCTGTAATAACCACTCTGTGCACAGGTCTATAATGGCCTATCTGTTCACAGGTCTGTAATGACCGCTCTATGCACAGATCTGTAATGGCCGATCTATGCACAGATCTGTAATGACCAATCTATACACAGTTCTGTAATGACCGCTCTATGCACAGATCTGTAATGCCCGCTCTGTGCTCAGATCTGTAATGACCGCTCTATGCACAGATCCGTAATGACCGCTCTATGCACAGATCTGTAATGACCACTCTATGCACAGATATGTAATGACCGCTCTATGCACAGATCTGTAATGACCGCTCTATGCAGAGATCTGTAATGACCGCTCTATGCACAGATCTGTAATAACCACTCTGTGCACAGGTCTATAATGGCCTATCTGTTCACAGGTCTGTAATGACCTCTATGCACAGATCTGTAATGGCCGATCTATGCAGAGATCTGTAATGACCGCTCTATGCACAGACCGCTCTATGCACAGATCTGTAATGACCACTCTATGCACAGATCTGTAATGACCAATCTATGCACAGACCGCTCTATGCAGAGATCTGTAATGACCGCTCTATGCACAGATCTGTAATAACCACTCTGTGCACAGGTCTATAATGGCCTATCTGTTCACAGGTCTGTAATGACCGCTCTATGCACAGATCTGTAATGGCCGATCTATGCAGAGATCTGTAATGACCAATCTATGCACAGACCGCTCTATGCACAGATCTGTAATGACCGCTCTATGCACAGATCTGTAATGACCAATCTATGCACAGACCGCTCTATGCAGAGATCTGTAATGACCGCTCTATGCACAGATCTGTAATAACCACTCTGTGCACAGGTCTATAATGGCCTATCTGTTCACAGGTCTGTAATGACCGCTCTATGCACAGATCTGTAATGGCCGATCAATGCAGAGATCTGTAATGACCGCTCTATGCACAGACCGCTCTATGTACAGATCTGTAATGACCGCTCTACGTACAGATCTGTAATGACCACTCTGTGCACAGGTCTCTAATGGCCTATCTGTTCAGAAATCTGTAATGACCGCTCTATGCACAGATCTGTAATGATCGCTCTATACACAGATCTGTAATAACCTCTCTGTTCACAGGTCTGTAATGACCGCTCTATGCACAGATCTGTAATGACCGCTCTATGCACAGATCTGTAATAACCGCTCTGTGCACAGATCTGTAATGACCTCTCTATGCACAGATCTGTAATGACCGCTCTATGCACAGATCTGTAATGACCACTCTATGCACAGATATGTAATGACCAATCTATGCACAGATCTGTAATGACCGCTCTATGCACAGATCTGTAATGACCGCTCTATGCACAGATCTGTAATCACCGCTCTTTGCACAGATCTGTAATGACCACTCTATTCACAGATCTGTAATGACCGCTCTATGCAGAGATCTGTAATGACCGCTCTATGCACAGACCGCTCTATGCACAGATCTGTAATGACCGCTCTATGCAAAGGCCGCTCTATACATAGATCTCTAATGACCACTATGCACAGGTCTGTAATGACCGCTCTATGCACAGATCTGTACTGACTGCTCTATGCACAGATCTGTAATGACCGCTCTATACACAGATCTGTAATGACCGCTCTATGCACAGATCTGTAATGACCGCTATGCACAGATATGCACCAGATCTGTAATGATTCGCTCTATGCACAGATCTGTAATGACCGCTCTATGCACAGATCTGTAATGACCGCTCTATACACAGATCTGTAATGACCGCTCTATGCACAGATCTGTAATGACCGCTCTATGCACAGATCGTAATCTATGCACAGATCTGTAATGACCGCTCTATGCACAGGTCTGTAATGACCGCTCTATGCACATGTCTGTAATGACCACTCTATGCACAGGTCTGTAATGACCGCTCTATGCACAGATCTGTAATGACCGCTCTATGCACAGGTCTGTAATGACCGCTCTATGCACAGGTCTGTAATGACTGCTCTATGCACAGGTCTGTAATGACCGCTCTATGCACAGGTCTGTAATGACCGTGCTATACAGAGATCTGTGATGACTGTTCCACAGACACATATCTGTGAAGACTGCAGTGTACAGATAGATCTGTGATTACTTCTCTAGACAGACATCAGCAGAAAGCATGTTACAAATCATGTTAGCTGCTCTCTAAATCACCACTCGACTGCTGAACACACTGATACTTACTTTCCCCACGCACGATCCACTGCATCACCTGTTCCTTCGAGTTGACAATCTGCTCATTCAGACCAACCACAGAGATCTGGTGATCCTGTAACCATGGTAACAATAACAAATATACTTGGTCTATCCTTACAAATTGATTGGGGTCCTCGGGAGATTTTTGCTCCAATACTCAATGCAATGTCTGGGTAAATTCAAGATACCCTAAGTATACTTTCAGTTGATATTAACAAAGGCATCAGGGCCCCGTTTAACAAAGCTATTGTAGCGCTACGACTATCCTAAGTCTATGTTACAGTATAGGAAGTACAACAGTTGTAGCGCTACGATAGCTTTATGAAACAGGGCCCTGGATCTGATGATATGGAAATATGAAAACAAGCATTCGTATTACTAATTCACCAAACAGGAAATGTTTCTGGGCACTTTGTTGTCTTTAGACCACTGTGACACCCTTAAAACCACCTTGTTTGTGTAGATGTAAAAACCATGGTGACTCTACTTGGTGGTCTGACATATGATATATTTTGGTTCTGTGTCAAAGGAATGAAGTGGGATACTTGCACTACATTGTATCAGGGTAATGAAATAGTTTACATTGTCACAAAACAAAGTTGGACCACTGTGTGACTTTCATCCATTGTTTTGAACATTCTTTTCATCATAAACCTGTAATTGATCCATTTTGTAATTAATTTTTATATTTTATATTATGAAGATGATTTGATTCATGACTACCCTACTACAATCATTTGATGAAATTTGTTGTCCAAATTCTTTTGAGCAGTTACCGATATAGGCACCAAAACCAATAGGGTATCTTAGAAATGAAAATTGTTGACAAAATTCCACACATAACACTAAAGTAGACTCAGTGTCGTCATAGGTCTATTGACTTCAGGTAGGAAATAAACTTACCGTGTCTTCTTGAATTTTCAATGTCTTTTCGATATCATCAAACAGGTCGTATATCTTTTCTGTGTAGATTTCCATGTATGAAATTCGGAGTAAAAATTCCTTGTTTGTGGACTGAAATATTATGAAGATGTTCAGATAGGATTAAGAGTTACTGTACCAAATGTTGTGATGCAATCTCACCAAACCTTGATGTTATACAGTAATATGAAGCCTCTGTATGTGAAGAGCAGAGAGAAGAGCACTGTCACGCACCTGAATATGTAGTCAAGAATTGAAAATGCCAACAAAGATCGCTGTTTAACACGGATTGTTGTCGGTACTGATGTTCAAATATGAACATGACGATTGAATCCCACTAAACAAATATCAAATCTCATTGCCTTGTGTATAAAAATGGCCCACGAATGGGCATAAATATATTTTTCAGTGTATCTGGTATTAGAGTGAGTGAGTTTAGTTTTACGCCACAGTCAGCAATATTCCAGCTATATGGCGGCAGTCTGTAAATAATCGAGTCTGGACCAGACAAGCCAGTGATCAACAGCATGAGCATCGATCTGCGTACTTGGGAACCGATGACATGTGTCAACCAAGTCATCGAGCCTGACCACCCCGTCCCGTTAGTCGCCTCTTACGACAAGCATGGGTTACTGAAGGCCAATATTCAAACCTGGATCTTCACAGGTTCTGGTATTAGAGAACACAGCTACTTTCGTGTTACAAATATTGATCAACTCTAAACCATAACACAATGATTAACAGCATAAAAAATAAAAGATTATAGTAAACAGTTGCTGTTGAGAGATACCTTTAGAAAAAGAATTTCAAACAACCTACTTTATTAATTATGTCGAACAATTCATCAATTCCCAGCTCAATCACTCCTGCCTGTACTTTACTGCCAGATATTGTGTACGTCTTCCCCGAACCACTCTGGCCATATGCAAAGATGGTTCCTGCCAAGTATAAGTACATTTACATGAGGAACATGTGAAAAGGTGATTGGTATAAGCATGTAGGACATTAGAAAGTAATGAAGGCCACACTGAGACGTATTTACTTGCAGAGTGGTAGGAACATCATATTCCAACCTGTGTAATCCAAACAGCACTTGCTTCTGATGTATCTATAAAATGGACAATCCTATAGACTTGATAAGTTGATTTGTAAGAGAAAAACATTCTCTCTCAATTTTGGGCTCAACATACCTCATCAGTTTGGTCTACAACAGGCAATCAGCTTGTCTGGAATTGTGGAAATCTGCTTTGATATCTATACATCCATCACAACACACTACCAGAACACAGGCATGTAAAACTAAAGCATTAATAATGTTGATATGTTGTATACGAGAGTAGACAGGCCAGTGAGAGTTGTTTAGCACCACTGTCAATAAACAACTGTGGCCTGGTAATAGCTGAAGATGGTTCAAGGCAACCAGTGACTGGAAACAATGTGACCTGATCTCAGTCACCTCTCAACTGTTTAAATCTGCTCTGAACTCAACACTGTTTCCATTACACCATGTCACCTGGCTGTAGTGGGGAAAGCCAGGGGTGATACAGGTCTTGGACTATGTGACCTGATCTCAGTCACCTCTCAACTGTTTAAATCTGCTCTGAACTCAACACTGTTTCCATTACATCATGTCACCTGGCTGTAGTGGGAAAAGCCAGGGGTGATACAGGTCTTGGACTATGTGACCTGATCTCAGTCACCTCTCAACTGTTTAAATCTGCTCTGAACTCAACACTGTTTCCATTACACCATGTCACCTGGCTGTAGTGGGGAAAAGCCAGGGTGATACAGGTCTTGGACTATGTGACCTGATCTCAGTCACCTCAACTGTTTAAATCTGCTCTGAACTCAACACTGTTTCCATTACACTCATGTCACCTGGCTGTAGTGGGGAAAGCCAGGGTGATACAGGTCTTGGACTATGTGACCTGATCTCAGTCACCTCTCAACTGTTTAAATCTGCTCTGAACTCAACACTGTTTCCATTACACCATGTCACCTGGCTATAGTGGGGAAAGCCAGGGGTGATACAGGTCTTGGACTATGTGACCTGATCTCAGTCACCTCTCAACTGTTTAAATCTGCTCTGAACTCAACACTGTTTCCATTACACCATGTCACCTGGCTGTAGTGGGGAAAGCCAGGGGTGATACAGGTCTTAGACTATAACCATTGTGAAACCTCAAGGATGGGTATGGTGCAGACAAACCTTGAAACACAATCAGGTTGAACCAGGATTTGAACCCATTATCTGGTGTCTGGCATGCATAAGAGATTCAAACCATACTCAGCGAATTATGACGCCTTAGCGGACAAGGCCACAATGAGCCAGTAAACTTATTACAACCTGCACTTCGATGCTGGGAACCTATTGTTTAACCAATGACCCAGAGAGGTTGTTCGAACAATACAGATCACACTGGTGAATACATGAACAAAGGAGTCGGTATAAACAGGATACTAAGATAAAAACAAAACAAAATAGTATAACATCAACACGGCTAAAGCACCACATGGTATCTGAGAACAGTGAGCTTGATGACTGCGACTGTCTATTGTGAATCTAGACTGAGTCTCTTGACAGAAGGGACAGCAGAAGAGACTTCCCAGTTTTGACATGTTCCTCACCATGAAACCCTTCAGCTGCATTCCTGATGATGGGTGAACATAGCTCTCCGTACAGCTCCTGGGTTGTGTCCATGTGATCATACACTGAATCTGAAATACACGAAGCAACGATGTTCATTGAGTCTTTCTTAGCATGGTGTTTATGATAATATGTATTTCCCAGACATCTACCATCATGTATCTCCAAACCATGTATTGAGTGAGTGACCGAGTAAATGTTGCTTTAAGCCTCATCCGCAGTATATTGGCTGATGTTTACAGGTTAGCATACTATCATTGTTTCATTAATTCAAATGAAAACTCCCCACCCAACACTGAGACTTGATTTAAAATATTTGCTAACGACAAAGAGTTCTCATTTAATTTTGTCATTGCAGAATAGTGTTCCACATTCACTTCGGCATGGTTAGAAAACGATAGAGAATTCAGCTCTACATTGTAAACATGGTATTTTCTTTTCATTTTAACAAGATTTCCAGGTATTGGACCAAATCATTCAGACTTGGCATTTAAATGCTGCCTGGCTTGTTATTAGTACAAAATGATTTAATTAAAAGGTCAATCAGTTAACATGAGAATCAGGATGATTGCAACACAATAACTTTAAAAGAACATATACAGTGAGACCCCGGGTACACAGACACATTTGTTTTTTCGTAAATCGTCCAGATAACTGAATATCCGGATATCTGGAATCCAGGCTTTGGTGTCGAAACGGTAGCGAGCATACACTTCTGGTTTAAAATCACTTCCAAAACAGCGTGGTCGTTTTGATTTGCCAATTAGAATTCACTCAGTGTCAGATAGGTGTACTACTACTAATCACCGCCAATACCCTTATGATCGGTCATTAATCTGGATTAGCAGACCTTGTTTTGTGTCAAGACTCGTGGGACTATCGCGCTTCACATGGTCAGAAGATCAAAGATTTGTGAGGATAAGTGAGTCAACTTCGTGTTAATTTAGCCGGTTGGTTTGTAAAATTTTACGGCCCGGAAATGGAAACCGCATATCCATTATAGACAGCCACTTTTATAACTTAAGAGATTGTTTTTTTATATGAAAATTGACCAGAAGGTGAGGCTTCCAGATATGGCATCATTCCTCTAGACCCTGTTCCCCTAGCCCCATGTTGTTATAAGCCACTAATAAGCCTGGCTGTTCTGTTAGCTGTACTCACTCCCGTGTAACTGGATTAACTACTACTAAGCTCGTTAGGTTAGGTGCTTTGAAGTTTTGACGTAGGATAGATTGCTCTTATAAAATAGGCATGTCACCGGAAATTCAGTATGATTCTGGATGAATGGACAATACCCTCTGGACATGTGCAACTTCTTAAGTATGACGGTCCCAGAACCAACAACCATTTATTTATCAGCCAAGTACAGCTTTTGCAACTTAAGTGTGGACAGTCTGCTCCCAAATGTAGGAAGCAATATGTAGATAGAGACGACAAGATTAAACGCCTTGGACTAGAGGACATGTTATGCGAAAAAAATCTTGACTCATACCTCTGTGCCATTGGACATATGATGGACAATATGTATGTTGCGTAACAACTGATCTGACTCTGCATTCAGACAATGTGTCAAGATCTGAACATCTTCTAGCACCATGAGCATGCACTAGTGCATGGATATATGCGCTATATAAATATCCTATAATAATAATAATTTGTTTTGTCACTTATTAGCAACAGTGATCATCTACTGATCAATAATGATCACTGAGGCGTGATTCTCTATTATCTATACTAAGGCTGTAACGATTCATATATTCGTGAATCGAACCGTAGCCCTTCATGAATTCAATTCATTATTCGTGGTCATCAGAACCGAATATTCATGAATATTTACAATTTTTAAGGGAGTGTGTTTTACTTGAACCCTTATGTCCTTTTTCAAAATGAGATATGCAAGAATGCATTATGTACTAGCCTTGTAGTAGCGCAAGTCATGTTAGTTTGCCAAAGCCGCGACTTGGTACTGTCATCTATAACTATTACATACCAAATTTGAGTGTCATGAGATGACTGGTTATTGCTGTGACAAATTAACACTGTCAACATGGGCATTCAATATTGTGCATCAGTCACTTAACTACAATATTGTATTCGTGAATAATTATTCGTATTCGGTACCCAATATTCGTGATACGTATCATATTCGCAACATAGTGTATTCGTTACAGCCCTAATCTATACCTAGTACGGTAGTAACCAACACCTGACTTAACAAGTTAATTAATAAAAGCAGTTAATCCAGTTACAGGGGAGTGAGTACAGCTAACAGAACAGCCAGGCCAGGGGCTAGAGGTACTAATTAGTAGATTGTAAAAACAGGAGAATGGGGGCTAGATGGGTGGAGTCCAGGATATCTGAGGTTCTGGGTATCCGGGGTCTCACTGTGCACATTTCCTGTTTTGAAATCATTGAAAACTTACAACATGACACTTGGATAACTGACCGTAAACTGCTTAAAAATAATATGGTCTGACATCGATTCCGGATCTTTAAACAGTTTCATTTTGCAACCACACAGGCAACTCTGAAAACTGGCACACACCAATCTCACTGTAAATTCATGTACATTAAACCTCATAATTTCTTTATAAATTTCCCTGCAACATTCATGCAACTATCACCTACCGAACACATAGCTGTCCGAGGCGGAGGATTCATTTGATGTAATAGTCTTGTCGTCCTTGACATTCCACAGAATGTTGAGTCCATTGCTTTGTTCTCTGGAGAAAGAGAACATTCAGTTTTATCATGATTACCTCAAATACCTACATTTTCATTTGATCAATACAGACATATGCAGTAGAAACAAGAGCAATCTGTATTTACTTACTTTTGTAGCAATGGACGTACGCGGACAGCTACTTTTATGTTGTCCCCCATTCTTACCTGTAAAAGAAAATGAATTACGTAACTTGATGACATAGCCCTATATTTACATGGGCTGTAACAATTCATTCACATATTCTGTAAAGCAAACTGTATCTCTGCATGAATGTATTTTGTTATTCATGATCACTAGAACAGAATATACATGATCTTTTTTTAAACCAAGTGTTTTTATTGGAATTTGGTTGTTTTTTTATCAAAACAATGCATGCAAAATCAAATATATCCAAGCCAGGCAGGATAACAGTCAACACTCTTGAACATAGAGACTTTTCTGGGTTTCATTTTCTTTTAATTTTTTTTTGTTGTTTAAAAACAATAAAAAAGAAGATGAAACCCAGAAATGTCTCTATGTTCATCAAATAGCATCTTCTAAAATGCTAAACAAACATCTAGCCAACACTCCTATTTATTTAATTTGACATTAATGTGGTCAGTTAGGAGATAAACATACTGTGTTGGAAAATCAGAGGTATATAACAAAATTATAATAGCTCTAAATTTGATTTGACTGACTGACTGAGTTTGGTTTTACGCCACTTTTAGCAATATTCCAGCAACATCACGGCGGGTGACACCAGAAATGGGCTTCACACATTGTGCCCTTGTGGGGATTCGAACCCGGGTCTTCGGCGTGAAATTTGATTTGAACTATTATAAATTTGTTATATATATATATACCTCTGATTTTCCAACACAGTATCTATATCTCTAATATTGTCCTGGTAGATTATCATGGTCAGCATGGTAATAACACATCAAACAATGTAATTTGTTACTGTTTCACTGAATATCATGAATAATACATCAATTGCTGACTTGTTATTATGTTCTTTACCCCAAATTTGTATCTGTTACCCAATATTCGCGATATAATTATATTTGCCATACATTGAATTTGTTGCAGCCCTAATAATATTTACTGGCATACACTGTGCCATGTAAGCCAAACATGAAAACTATAACTGTAATATTGATAAATGAGGCATTAAACTCTCCTCAATGTCTAGTTACTATTGCCAAGTCACCACTTAATATATTTACTAATTATTAACATATTAGATTTAGCAAATCAATTCAAGATTTATTAATAAGCTACATATTGAAAGGTAATTTGAAAATCTCAAAAGAATTTGTCATTTCTAAACTTTGATGAAAATGTTACAGCTGATGTACATTTGTTATATTTGTTATTGTCATTTCTTTGTGAATCTTTGTGAACATAACTGAGTGGTGTACTGGTGTCTCAGCTTTCTGGTTATTATAAATTAAAATGATAAGATTTCACATTTCTATAAAATCCTTTGACAGTAGTACGTTTCCAATGTGGGGGTTCATTTTTGTGGCTCATGACTAATATCCCTTTATATAACTTTGTAAACACATCCTAAATCATTACACTATACAATCCCATGCATATTTTGTGTACATTCAAGTATCTAAAATGTTAGGAATATCGATGACTAGATCTATCTTCTTGACAAATGAAATTCAGCAGCAGACACATCTAAATGATTAAGTACTTATTTTCACCTATATCTATGACTACATTGTTAAGTACAAATGATATTCTTATGCTACAGTACCACTTGATTCCTGATCTGTTACAGGTATTGTCAACAAAGTACCTGTACCCAGGACACAAATGTCTGAAGGTGGTGTTCTGTTATTAGTTGATGTCAAGTTTGTACACAAAGCCACACAATGTACCCAATGGGGGTAATTTTCTGCTATTTGAAGCATCAAACAGAGATAGTCAACAGGAATCCGGTACGTTATAATTCAATTGTTCGCAGGAAAACACACCAGAATTGTAGCAATAACATCGATCTTCTCAGCGTTTGAAAATGGCTTGTCCAGACCACGACAATATCGATGCTTACAAGCAGTTTAATGTTTTGACTTTTCACACCAAACACATAATTACATGACAAAATGTGAAGGAAATAAGATTTTCAATCGGAACATATGCAGGTGTATCGCTATGTACTTACTGAACAGAGTTCCGCGATGATACTGAAGTTTCAGTTTGAAAATACCCCCATCCATGTAGACGTGTTCCGCGATTGGGCGAACCGGGCGTGTTTGTGCGTATTAGGGCGTGTAAGTGAATCCTGCGCATCGCGAGATTTCGTGACTTCCGGTGACAAACAAAGTTTTCTCTCCATTATGTACTGGGTGAATTACACTTCAGACAGGCCAAAATTGATTCGCAAGTCCGAAAATTCTGTAAGCTGCGATCGAGTACTTAGGTTTTTATATGACCCAGAGCTTGGACACATAGAAAGCCATGTTCAAGCGTCAATGAAGGACAAATCCTACCGAGTGCAGGTCAGTGCTTTTAAATACATTTTGGCGCAAAATACGAACATTATTATGAATGAAATGTGTTGTAAAAGTATTCATTGGGAAATCAAGAAGGTATAAGTTCCGTGAAACTAATAATTTCGAGAATACAAAAGCCAACTGTACACTGTTTACTTACAGATTGAACTAAATGAGTTATAGCTGAAACGGCCCCAAGTCGAAACGCCCCCAAATTGGCTAAAACGGCCCCAAATGTTTTGGCTGAAATGGCCCCCATGACTAAACGGCCCCAAGTTAAAACGGCCCCATATTTGCCAAAATGGCCCCAAAATAATCAGTTTTATTTCAATGTGTGTCCTTAGTCATAAATGATAGATCAAAACGCATATTTTTCAATTACTTATTAAATTAATTAACTTTGACATTTTCATCATGATTTTCTTCTGTTTAAATGGCCATGAGGCCAATAATACATGTGGAAGCTATGAATCAAACGAACTGAATAATGTACAGATCGTCTAACAATATACACTAGAATTTAAGTTTGACAAATAAAACATTAGATTTCAGAATCAGAATTCAAATTGTTAAAAAAACATCCATACCATGAAGTCACACATACAGTCATTAAAATAACATTGAAGTAGCAGTTGCTCTGTTGAGTGAATCCTGACAGCGCTGGTGTTTTGGCAAACATTAGCAATAGTACATAAATGAATATAATAAAATATGTCTATGAACTCAAGACTATGGCATAGTGTTCTCTGTGTCAATGATATACAGTATTTATTGATGGGGATAGATGGTTACTGTACATTCACAATGACACAACGCTGTGTGGTTTGCAATAAGACCGTCCGGAAAAAACATGCTCTAAAATCTATGCAACTACAAGGACAGTTACTTCAACGTAAACATTCAAAGCAATGGACAGTTTCAACACAACTCCATATGAAATGTACAGTTTGATTTTTTGACGATAACTGAAAAAATACTGACGCATTAAAGCCTAAACTCTAAATGAAGACCTAAAACAACTATTTCTAAGAAAAAAGTCGTGTTTGCTGATGAGGTTGTCATATTTCGTGTTGAAACGATCATTTCCCGTGATCTTGATTCGACACTCAGGAGGGTGCCCTCGCTTAACACACAATTGCAATAAATAGAGAGGGTGTCAAGCAATTACAGAAAGAACCATTGGAAGTTTCTTGTCTGTGTCGTTATTCTATTTAATACCCATTATGTAACTTCATATTACACTAAATAAATTTCTGTTTTCAATATATGTTACATGTCAATGTAAATGCTCCAATATATTTCACATCTTGTTTTGGCAATTGTACGGGGTCATTTCAAGCAATCTCTGGCTGTTTTCACTTAGCAACTTCGGGCCGTTTTGCACAGGGGCCGTTTTAGCCAAGCAAAATTGGGGCCGTTATGCAATGGGGCCGTTTTAGCCTGATCCCAACAAAATGACCTCTATCGGACGGACGTGTGATTGTCCAATGGGTAATTTCTATTGCCACCATGTCGCCGATGTTCTCCTGTTTGGGTGAGTGATTGAATTTATGTGTGTTAACTTGTCAAGAATATTTCTTTTAAATGGTGCAGTATTTTCAATAATATTTGCTGAAAAATATACCAGTTATATTACTTATGAAAGCCTATATCAAGCTGAAAGTGACAGAACCATTATTAAACTCGGGTGTACCGTGTATATTTTTATGAACTTAAGCATTTATATGAATCAAGTTTTAGCTGTCATAATGACATGTAAACAACAAAAAAATAATTCAGATTATTTCTTAAGAGTTGTTGTTTTCACTTTTACTTTGTAGATACAAGCGTGCAAGCAAGACAAATGTTAAGTGCAGCTGGCTGAAGAAACCAAAGTCTAAGATGAGGGCTGACACTGCAACTATGGAGGACCTGTTTCCTCCAAGAAAACCAGGATACAGGTAACTAAAACCAACATATTTCCACATGGAAAACATTACAATAATGTCCAAATCTTACAATTTTATCCAATAGACTAGTATGTTTTTCAGTTACCTCAGTGACAACTCATGTGCTGTTTGTAAATGAAAGTATCTGTTATAGTAATGTTTTCCTGTTACTTTTGTTTATCTAAACAGAGCACTAAATAGTCATGTTACTCAAGAAGATCGAGACCAGTTATGTAGTGAACTGGAGAAGCTTGGAAGATTTACTGGTTATTAGTCTCCTCAAATTTGTGTTGTGTTATCTCCTTTTATTCTGATGTTATAATATTTTTTAATTGTGAATGAATTTTACCTGTTGTTTTTCTTATTTGTTCTTATCACTTTCATGTTAGAATTGGGAAAGATTTCTTCATGTTCTTTGCTGTTGTTTTTGCTTCAAATCAAAGACCACAATTATTTAATGTAACAACTGAGTTTTGTTTTGAGATTATTGAAAGGAGCGTAAGGACAAACAAAAAAAATGTTTCGATTTCCTACATTTCAGAACTAGGGTAGGTAGGTAGGTTTTGGGTTTTTTTTGCAAAATATTTTTACATTACTCATGTGTCAGAAAATAAATTGAATTTATTATGTGGTGAGTAAAATTGTTAGGCTCGGTGGGAATATTTAGGGTCGGTCGGGAAATCGGAACAAGCTTTTTTTTTTAAGGCCTAATCATAATTGCAACTATTATGACTTAATGATAACAATTAACATGAACAAGATTTAACAAGTCAGAAGTATTCCTTTGTTATCAACTAACATCGACCAGTTTTAAGTGAAAGTCCACATTTATTAATTTCATTTCCCCCTTTCAGCTTTGCATTGGATACTCTCACCAGAGCCAAAGAAAGAAGATCCATGCGTTGTTCCTGTTGAGGATGTTATTATGAGTGCAGGATATATCCAAGCGTTCTGTAAGAGGACATTTCTGGCTAAGACCCTTCTCCTTTCACCAGAGAAAGTGAAGACCATAGCATCAGCTACCTCAGGCCAGCGAAGCAATCCTATGTGGTCTATCGTACGTAGACACAGGATTACTTCATCAAACTTTGGATTCATTTTGAGAGCTATCCAAAGAAACAGGTACGTAATGTTTATTACTTTGTTGATTTCATACATATTGTGTGATTTGGTTTATTCATTTAAATTATTTATTCATTCATTATGTAATTGATGACTTTTTTGGGGTAATTTGGGATTACATGCATTACATGTTTGAAGTGAAAAAGCGTGAAAGGAGCATTGCATTTATCAAGTTGATACATTGCATGATTTTTTAGTTGTACAAGTATCATTTTAATTTTTCAGCTACCCACCTTCACTTTGGAAACGCCTCAGTTCCCCTTACAACTTGGAGAAGAAGGACTCAATTGCTTGGGGGATCAACCATGAAAGGAACGCTATTTATCAATATCGTAAACTTGGGGCTAAGGTTGAAGAAACAGGTAGGTATATATATGTAAGAAAACTGTCGCACGTGGTGTTGTCAGTGAACTGGTTTCAATCACAAGTTGAATTTTACAAATCTTTTCCTTATCCTGACTCATGCTTATTGCTTGTCTCCCTTTCCTTCCGAATGCTAGTGGAACACTTGAATCCCCTTTTGAAGCTCCCTTCAAAAAGCGGACGTAAAATCACTTACCAGGAGTCACCTCCCTTGCCAGGTTTTGGCGACTCACCTCCCTTGCGGCTTTATATCCTTTTATTATTTAGGCTTTTCTTCTAAATTAGCTGTATAAGGCTTTAGCTAACATTTACCTACAATATTCTACGGAATTAATTCTCAAATTTCTCCTTTTTTGTCACGTTTTTACGTGATTATTCACATTGTTTTCAATTGATGAAATCTTGTTCTGATTGTAGGTGTCGTTTGTCTGCTGTTGATCCGCATAACCTATGTCCTAATTGCAAGCCTATATGTTTATCTGACACTCATTGTCAGTTGTGTTTTCACCTGTCTGATATTGCATTTTACAAATATTCATATTATCTGTCTAGACGTGCAAAGGACAGGTCCAGACGAGAATTACACGACATGTCTAAACCGGCTAAGCTTGCAGAGGACCGGCAGTTGGTGTCTGCGCAGATACACCATTCCAGTGGTCTACTGGGGTCGTCTACGGAGGAGGTTGCCGCCTTAGACAACGCTAGCTCGAGGAAGAGGTCATCTACATCTGAGACACCCTCTTCTCAGTCTAAGAAGACTAGGGCATCGTCTTCCCAGAGGAAGAAGGCAGCTACAGCTAAGACTTCGGCAAAGTCTCCACACGGGGCAACGCAGAAGACAAGATCTTTTTCAGTTGAGATCATCCCTCTGGAAGAAATAGATGTCTACGATGAGCCGCCCATCCTCATCCCTGAGATCACATCTAAGAAGAAGACGAAGATGTCTTCTACAGTGACCACGCAGGACATCCTATCAACGCAGACGTTCGGCACGAAGGATCTACGCCCTTCGGAAGCAGCCTCATCCGTCTCAGATGCGTCGTCAGTACAACAGACAACGCAGACCTTCAACCCGGGAGCCTTTATTCAGCAATTTACCCAACAGATGTTGGATCTGATGGAACAATGGTTCACACGCCAGAGAGCTGCGACGAAGACGACGTCTGCGACGAACCCGATGTCTGCAACGAACCCGAGTGAAGGTCAACTGAGCAGCACACCACGTCCGTTGGGAACCAGTGTCCTGCAGAGCATACAGGAAGATTCCAGCTCGACTACAGCGTCCGCACGAATACCTGGCAGCCATACCAACGTGGACTCCGCACCAACTACGTTCGGCGGAAGGACCAGACGTTCGCCAAACCCACGCAGATCATCATCGACGTCAGATACGGACGTTCGTCATGAACCTGCACACAACGGTTCGTTACCAAGGAGAAGAGAATCAACATCCGTACAGAGCAGGAAGATGACGGCGGAATTATATTTTCCGACTCGGAAATCAAGTCATGGATGGCCAACGGTTTGGAACTCGCATCACCCTCTAAGGAGACCAACGAAGCACTATCATACTTGATGGTGAATGATGATATAGACTCACTCATGATGCCACCTATTGACCCAGTCTTAGACGTTCCAGACAACCTCAGCACAGCCTTCAAGAAGGCAACAAAATACCAGACTCAGAGTATTCCGTCGTTCAACGCTAAGAAATTCTCTCTACACCACATGGAACCCTTCATGAAGGCCCCAGAGATAGATGAGAATTACAAGATCATCAATGACACTCGGACTAAAAGCTTACAAGATAGAAGATAAAAAGCTGGCACAGTTAGACACAGTAACCAGACGAACCTTCTTCGGCCTAGCCAGGTCAAGAGCTGTCAACGAGACTCTCATCTCGAAGTTTAAGAATTCAACTTCAGAGGAAGATAGAATGATTTATTCAGCTCTACTTACACAGAAAAAGGATCATCAGTTCATGTCTGAACACCTATCATCCATTTCTGCAGGCTTAACATTATCAAGAAGGCAAGGACTGTTATCTTCATGTACTTGGAGCGAGAAGTTTACCAAGACACTCTACAGAGCCCCTTGGTCAACACCATCCATTTTTGCAGGAGAAATTGATGAAGTCGCCAAGGAAGTCGCTAAAGATTCCCGAGAAGTAATGATGATCAAGTCTATCGATACACTGGCCAGTGTAATACGTCAGACCTCCCAATGTTATTCCGGCAAATCGAAGTTTGCAGGCATCCAGAGAGCAAGGGATAAGAAATCAGGCAACGCTAAAGGAAATAAGGATTGTTTTCGTCGCCCATCCACAGCTCCAAGAGGTAACTACGGAAGAGGTCGGCCCTTTCGAGGCGCCAGAAGTTCCAGGCGATGAAATACAGGTTTGGAACGACTGGATTCTTCCACCCCCAGCCGTTCCAGTACAACCCTCACAAGTGGGTGGGGAATTGGGGAATTCTTCAAGACGACTTCGTATCTCAGATTCTACGCACAGGTTACAGGATACAGCTACAAGCAGTACCACCAGTAACAATCAACCCTATGTTTCACAACTATGCTGCAGACCAGAAGGGAAATCTACTAGAAGCCATCACATCTCTACTAGAGAAAGAGGCAACAGAAGAGATAAAACACTGCGTCACACCAGGTTTCTACTCCCCCAATTTTTCTGGTACCAAAGAAAAATTCAAAAGAAAAGTTTCGACTCATTTACAACATGAGGAAATTAAACAAAGATTACCTCCTACCACCCGCAAGGTTCAAGATGATACATCTTCCACAGCTCATATGTCCGCTAGACTATCTCGCCAGCATAGATTTACAGGAGGCATACTTACACATCCCGATCCATCAGGAGTCAAGGAAATATCTACGATTCCTGTTCAACGGACGTCATTTCCAATGGAAGGTCCTGCCATTTGGAATATCGTCGGCCCCCTGGTTGTTTACTCGAGTGACAAAGCCCATCAATATATATCTACATCGTCAAGGTCTACCCAGTGCGTTCTACCTAGATGACAGGATTCAAGCTCAGCAAGATCCAAGTCAACTCAGACTGCAACTGAACTTCACCATCAGACTTCTCACTCAACTAGGATGGCTAGTAAATCTCGTCAAGTCGGAACTACAGCCTACTCAGGACTTGCAATTCCTAGGAATACGGCTTATAACAACGAAGAATCGCATTCTCGTTCCAGAGGATCGTTGGATCAAGATTCAACAAATGATCTCTCAAGTTCTACTCTCTCCGTTACCACTACGAGAATGGCAGAGCCTATTAGGTCCCCCCAAATTACCAAAGTGATTTTACGTCCGCTTTTTTGAAGGGAGCTTCAAAAGGGGATTCAAGTGTTCCACTAGCATTCGGAAGGAAAGGGAGACAAGCAATAAGCATGAGTCAGGATAAGTATAAAATATCAATTTTAGTCAGAAAATTACATTATTCATGAAGAGTGCTCCAAGGGACAAAGGGAGGTAATTCTATGGGGTTTGCATGAAATAATGTTCGATCAGTTCGGTCGAACTTTTTATTGTAATATTGTAATCTAAATACGTAATTTTAATTGGAATAAATTATATGGTAGCTTCCTTGGGGATTTATAGTATTATTGAGAGAAATGCATTATATACTTTGTAGAGATGTGTGGCGTGATATTGTTGCCTTTTAAAAAATGAAAAACAAAGTGTAATGAGAAACAATTTGGTTGCTGGATTTTTTCTTATGTTACATGCATCGTTGTAGGCATATGGCTTCACGAATCAGGAATTCTCGGCGCTTCCCCAGATGGAATTGTGGTTACCCCAATTCCACAGTCTGCAACACCACCACCAGACATCATCGAAGTTAAGTGTCCATTTTCTGCCAGGGACAAGCCACCGTTGGATGCCATTGGTCAAAAGAATTTTTGCTTAGGTATTAACAGAAGTTTAAAGTTTGTTTAGTACTGTGAAATTACAAATACCTCTTCAGTGTATTACCAGTTGATATAGAATATGTCAAATTACATGCCAAAAACAAGAACATCAAAGTTGTCTTTTTTTTAAGTTATGGGAAAAGAGTATAAAGATACACTCAAGATTCTGTTATTGAAATGGCATGTTACTTATTGAAATGATATTGCTTTGCAGTCAGAACTGATGGGAGAATTACTTTGCCAAATGACCATGAATACTACCATCAGATCCAAGGCCAACTGTACATCATGGGGAAGACATGCTGTGACCTCCTCATTTGGACACCCTGTGGACTTCTCATACACAGAATATACCGGGATCCAGAATGGGCTTCAAATATCTCAAAGCTGATAGATTTCTTTTATGACAAGTACTTTCCAACCATATTGTCTTAGTGTGGGTAGCTAGCCAACAGAAGACCAAGTGACTGCAGAGGATATGAAGAAGGATCAAGGCTATCCAAGGTATCAGCACCCCAAGGATCGGCTCTGGATCACCAGTGGACTGTTCACCACAACATAAACAGCAAGACGAAGCTGAGTATTCAACTTGTTTCCATCATGTTACATATATCTTATAGTAATATGAAGCTTTTGTGTCGTTTGTAATTGAAGTATGTTTAAGAGTTTCATGAAAATATAATCTAATTCTTTCTTTTTTATCCAAATATTTTTTTATTGCAGCCTTCATTACACTTCAAACACACCAGTGCCTTGTATACACATTGTAGCCTATTATTGTCTTATCATGCTTTACTAACTGACAATCATTTGTTTATAAGAAACATTTTGAAGAACTAGGTAGCCCTTTTTAAATGTATTGATTACTGTTGGATTTTCTGGCTTATAAAGACTAATATTTTTAGATGTTCACTTACTTTATGCCTTCCGAAACAATTCTTCATGGTTTGTCTTATGAACAAGATGAACTTTGTTACATGATTAAATAATCTCCCATGACCACATTAAGTTATAATTACAAATTTCTTTTTATTTCAGCATGGCCATATGGAGATATTGTGAATGGTGACAACAACGCTGACATTTTGAAAAAGAGACTATGTTCTTTTAGTGTGCAATTGATGATTTGTTGTAAAATTCAGGTCAGTTTGTCTCAGTATCAACTTAAACAATGCCTTTAATTATTATCCAGACACTTTTTTGTTTCGGGTTAACCACCAATGGGCTTCATGCAAGGAGCATGAGTTGCGGATACATGACGCACCATGACAGTTATTGGATACCCCAGGGGTAGGTTGATCCCAAACACCTGTATTGAATGGTTAATTGTTTAGGGCATGGTGTAAGTTAATCATGAAACAAACTTGTCTGAACCAATAGGTATGGTTGTATTTGAATCTTGTACAGTTTGTCAATTGTAAATTTCAACTTCCATTGTAACGTGTGTTACATCTAATTAAAGTACAGTCGAGCACCGTTGTCTCGATGTTCATGGGACCAAGAAAAAAATATCGAGTTACCCGAACTTCGAGACATCCGACCAGGCCGTATCACTATGAAAGAAAACAAAACGCTTCTCAGTGTGTTTTGATTCGAAACTATAATCCGTTATCAGTAGTGTTTAGTCGTAACAGTGAGTACTTCCCTAATTAATTCCTTCTTAATTAATCCTAATTAATAACAAACAAGTGACACCTTCAACTCAATTAGCCCTAATTAGTTTACACTACCACATCCCTTTGATTCATGCCGCACCATGTGTGTAAACGTGTGGAAACAACCTAAGTTCAGAGGGATACTTGCCCATGCAAGATAGGTGAATATCGAGTTTGTTTGCAAATATCGAGTTAAAAGGGTAATTTTGCTTGTTGGGACGATGAAATTATATCGAGATATCCGAAATATCGAGACATCCGTATCGAGTTAAAAGAGCTTGAATAATGATTAATCATGAAGGATTTTGCCGGGACCGAGATGTTACATCGAAACAACCGAGATATCGAGTTATCAGAGTTCGACACAACGGTGCTCGACTGTATGTTCATATTCAAAATGTGTTATTACATATGGAGGGAAGAGATAACACACCATCTACTCCAAGCATTTCATTATGTGTTTCCAGAATTTTCATGAGTATTTTATTTTATATGTAAATGTCTGGAAATTATGAAAGGGTTATTATGATGATTAGATGTATCCTTAGGTTTTTCATACACATGTAATGGCCTTAAGTTATGGTGTGATTTTAATATATGTACCATATCAATATGTGAAGAGCCTGTAATAGGCACATAGACTCTCACTGACTTAATTACATTTAATATTGTTTACTTAAGACACTTGTTTACATGAATCATGCCCTGAATATATCATACAAAAAATTGCTTCATTATAGTGGATTTTGTGAATTTTTTGTATTAAAATGTCATTCATTTCGAACTTGTTATCTGATAATTTTAGACAAATAAGGTACTCAGCTTTAGAGCTAGTAGCAGGGATTCCTCGTCCCATCCCTAGTGGTAGGCAACCAGGCAATGTTCCCAGCAGGAGTCAACTTGAAACACCTCACCTATATCAATGGAAAAACATGGCTGATTTATACAGATTTCAGAAATACATTGATGAAAATACTTGAATATTTGCAGTTGTGAAATATATATTAAAATAAACTTCAGATTGATCTTTTGTGTTCTTGTTCTTTCATTTCTTTCAAAGGTTGGTGATAATTGTTAATGTTCAATCTTTATTTATTTCTTTGAGTAATGGAGCTTGCAAATTTATCAAAAAACAGCAAACCTGAAAAATCTTACTGGAGATAGGGCGATAAATTGCAGGAATGTGGTTTAGAATATCAAAGTTTTTAATGCGCTCATTCGCCCTTTCTATGTGTATCCTGGCTCTTGCAATCTTGTAACACATTTTACCTTCCTCTTTTGTGAAAACAGACTTACCTGACAGAAATGGAGGGATATTTAAACTTACACCTGGTGGCAACATTTCATGAATAGTAAAACCCTTATCAGCTAAAATAAGATCACCTGGTTTGAAAGAAGACAACATATTTGAATGGCTAACAATAGCTACATCTGATGTTGACCCAGGATACAGACTGGTGCAATATGTTAGAGCGCCATTAGGTGCCACAGCTGTCACAGCTTTAACAGTATGGCGGGACTTGTAGTTGCTGTATGCTCTATTTTGACAGTCAAGGTCTTTGGGGATATCCTGAGACATCTCTATAGCATCGATAGATGCCCTAGCACTACCAAAATCTTCAAAAGACTTGGGCATGCTGCCTTTACACTTAGTCTGACTGGGCATGTAGTTATCCATAACACCTGAAAAGAGTTCATGTAAAGCATGGATGAGGGTATTGAAGATATTGGAAACCGTAGCACGACTGATTTGAAATCTTTGGGCCAAATCAAGATCTTTGCTGTTCATGGTAAGTTTCATGAGAGTTAGCAAAAGCTGATTTTCCAAGGATACAATTGATGGTTTCCATCCAGCATAGTAGTTGAGGTCGAAGCGTTCCAGCATGGAGCAGATGATCTTGAAGACATCGTAGCGTATGCTTGTGTAGAGTAGCATCTGTAAACACACATTCAAATTAATACCAGTACTTAAAAATATTTAGCACCCAGTCCTCCTCTCAACACACACACACCAACACTCATCAACATATTTGAGGTTTACTTAGATTGTTGCGGTTGCATTTAACATACATTGTTAACTTAATTGTAGTGGCAACAATATTATTAGCACACCTGAAAGCCCTCCTTTAATAAGAATAGGTATTATACATTTTAAGTGGGTTTTTTATGTGTACAGGAGAATGACAAGTGACTTAAGTTCCCATTATTTTCAATTTTGTAATGGCCAAGGGGTAGAGATAAATGAGAAAGTAAAGACAAAATTATTATATACATTTGTTTATGCTGTTTAAATCTGTTATTTGTTAACCAACCTTTTCTTCACTGTCACTTATATCGTTGATAGAAAAGGTTGAACGCCTTAGGTTTAAGGAGTGGATTTCCTGCTCCAGGGACTTTATTGTGGCCTTCAAGTCTTGGACTTCAGCGGTTAACGAAGTCAGCTTCCCCACACACTGGTCTCCAAACTGTATGGCGTAACCATGTTCCATCACCTATGGTACAAATATTGGTATTGGAACAATAAATTCAGCACAAAGATTTAGAGAAGGTAAAAATAATGAAATAAGTGAGTATAATGTGCTATATGTTTTTTAAACAAACATTGATTTATACTGACATGAAAAATACTTACTACATATCCGTCCTTCCATTGTGTTCAGGTTCAGCTTGGACATCAGGACTCTGAGCCAGTGGGATTGCCGGTACATCACTGCACTCCAAAGGCACACTCCTTTTTCTGTAGGAAAAATATATAATAATCATAAACATATACCCTAAATACAAATAAATACAAATTTAATTATAGATTACTCATTTAAATTGCAATGTATGTCTTAACTGCAAAATATTATACCTCTTTGGTTTGGGATCCTTGAACTGAAACAGTTTTCCTTTGTTGTGGGGGGAAAAATATGGGATCACCATCCTTTGTGCCACCTTCAAAATGACATGAACAAATCCTGTCATTCTCGGATGTTGGGCATCTGTCGAGCCTTCTGAAATTACAGAATAATTTAAAATAACAATTAAAACCGATTAAGCCTATCCATTATAAAGGTTGAAATACTTCCAATAGCATATGTTGTATGGCCTCACTACACGAGATCCATGACATTGTGTGAAAATCAAACCTCAAGAGTCAATTTAGTACTGTAGTATTTTACATTTTAATCCAATGGCTATCTGATTCGAATTATTCACAAAGAATTATCCATTAACTGACCAACTACATATGTGTTAATACATGAACATTTTACAGCATAATTTCTGTAGGCGTTTTAGTCAGCACGGCAGTAGGGGTCTGAGATGACTCGACTACGGACATGTCCGAAAAAAACATGCTAAACCCGTTTACTCTGGTAATCTTACCTTGACAGACGATGTGATCAGAAGGCAAAAACGGAAGGGCCATGAGTTTTCTGACAAACTTGTGGACGGCGTCATCCTTCTGGTAGGCAACCTGGGGAAAATTAGGGAAATATGTATATAAATACATAATAAATAAAAATATAACTGATAAGTATAAATAAAAACACAAGTTACCTGCAGACCAAATTCCTGGCCCTTTCTCCAGACTGCTTGCGTAAGGTGGAAAAGGCATCCACGAAGACGGACGGCAGGTAAGGACCTTCGCAAGAGCTTTCCATGTAGCCAGCTCAAAATCTAAGATGACAGTCTTCACTTCAGGTTCCCTTGGTAAGATGGCCAGCAATCGACGAAACACCTTAATGTAATCTGATGTACGTCGACGAGACATGATAACAAAAGCGAGAGGCAACATCTTTGCATCTTGTCCAGATCTCACAAAAGCATGAACAGACAACAGCTGGTAGAAGGGAGCCCGTACAATTTTAAAGGTTCCATCTACAAACCATTGTCTGCTCCTGCTTAACAGGGATAACTGCTGGTCAGTAGCTAGGAGTATGTGCCTCTCGCCTTTGTTCTCAATGTCTGCGGACCGCCTCCGTGGTGTAGTGGTTAGAGCGTCCGCCCGGAGAGCGGAAGGTCGCGGGTTCGATCCCCGACCGCGTCATACCAAAAGACGTTAAAATATGGTACTTGTTGGTCCCTGCCTGGTGCTTCGGCATTAATGGGTACAACAAAGACTGGTCGGCACATACACACGCATGCACGTCGTCAAATGAGCGAAATATTCTCAAGCACGGCGTAAAACCCAATTTCACCTCACCTCACCTCAATGTCTGCCCTCACAAAGCCTCTGGGAAGAAAGTACCGTTTTGGGGTGGGGCCGTTTTAGCTATAACCCGTATTTATCTTTTAAATGATTCCTAGTGTTTGTCTCACCTTGATAGCGTGTTATATGTGTGTTATTTATTGTATGAAAATAATTTAATCATTTTATCAATGTGTGAGCTCTGTACTTTACATAAGAATTCCTTCACGCGTAATACAGTATGGTCATTGTCATTCTTGATGTTACTTTTGTATGGGTTCAATTCTATTCAGCATATTTAGTGGGCTTCGTCAATCCACCACTTATTGTACCCATTTTGTTATCTCTTTCGATTGTAACCCCAAACTTGTTTTAAATATAACCTGCAAATTGTTCACTGAACTTGTGTAATCATTTATTTATTTCAAATTTGCCGATTTCTGGGTTAGCCTTTGTGTCTTAATTCTGAAATAACACCATAACAATACGAAGAAAATCCATTTATTGTTCTTGAGAAAGTTCAATAGCAGTAACTTGTGCACACAATATGACTTAACCTGATGTAATATAAACAAGTGAACGTGGAATGGTACAAAGTACTAACTGCTGC